CCCCCCCCACAGACAGAGGACACGCAAGGTCACAGCATCCATCCATCCATTCATCGGCTTACCTGCCATCAGGCCGTGTCTCATCGTCTGCCGGCGTTGGTGATTGTCGAGCCGGAGCTGCCAGGCGAGATGGAGCAGCACGAGGCGGCCACCATGCGAGCTGCGGCTGGCGGCGAGCACTCCCCCGAACAAGTCCTTCAAGACAGTAAGAAGACAGCGACAGAGAAAGCAACGGAAGGAGACAAACAGATGGATGTGTGTCTCTTCTCCTGTTCGTCTGCTGCAGCCGCGTTCGTTGCCGTCGGCGTCCGAGTTGAGCGATCCCGACCTGCTGCGTGACGAGGTGCGTGTGGTGGAGGCCGAGCTTATCGTGCAGACCAAGAACCAAGACAGACTCCGCAACGCCAAACTCCAACTAGAGAAAGAAATCACCGCACTCGAGGTACTCCCATCCATCCATCCATCCACTTGTGTGTGTGTGTGTGTGTGTGTTGTGTGTGTGCAGCGTTCGAGTCGCAGCGCTTCGGCGTGTGTGTCGAGCGGCACGGCCACACAGCTGTCCGCCAAACGAGCCTCACTGGCCGAGATGAGTGCGGCCGAGCAGGACATGCAGCGACAGCTTGACGAACTGAATGCAGTGAGCCATACCACACGCACGCCCACCCAATCTGTGTGGATATGTGTGTGTGTCTGTGCGTGTGCAGCGGTCAATTGAGTTCAGTCGCAAGGCCGCCCAGGCCAAGAAGAGACGACTTTTCCGACACACATGAACCAGTCGGCCAACGAACCGCACTGAGCAGAGACAGCAGTCGTGAGGGTCTCAGTGCGTGTATGACGACTCGTGAGACGGACGACATGCACATTGGTGTCGGTTGATTAATGTCTCTCAACGCATCTGTTGCATGTCTCAACTGCGAAGATTAGAAGCAGCGGTATTCTGGGGCACAGACGCACGGGACAAGGGTGCGCACAGGCGTCAGCAAGCTGGCTGTGTTGCTTGCTCTGGTAATCTTTCGGACCAACGTCGTATCCACAGAAGACGGCCTTGGAAATGCTATCGCCACCATCCCAAGTCGCCACGACATCCTTCAATAACAACCCGACGGAACAGGCAGCTTCAGGTACGTATGAATGGAGCCACGTTTCTCGATGTGCTCACCATGTCTTTCTGGGTGCAGTAGGACATGAACGAGCGCTCTCCAGGCTCACCAACCGACTGCTTTCCGAAGCTATGACAGTTCTTGAGCGTCTCTCCCTTCTTGTAGGTGACGCAGGTGCCCTAAAAGTGGCCAAATTAAAGGGCGATGTGTTTGTATGTGCGTGAGGACGTGCGTAACGTACGTCACCGTCCGTCTGTGTGGGGAAGCTCCCTTGGAAATTCAGACGGACGTGGGTCACCACGCAGATGTGAGGGGCAGGGCAGCTCTTGAACGGCAAGTGGCTGTAGCGCTTGCCTTCCATCCGAAAGAGATGCTTCTCTGTGGCGCCTTCGGGAAGCATTCCAGTGACGTCCTCCGGCTCGAAAATCACAGTGCAGGCCGACAGCTTAAGCTTGGTTCCGACGAAATCGGAGATTGCCTCTGCCTTCTCCGAGAAGAAATCGGAGACGTTTTGTGCCGCGAAGCGACGGTAGTCTGGGTTTTGGATCAAATCGATGATGCCTCGAGCGCCTGCAAAGCCCATCCATGTGCCCCTGCACGTGTGCATGTCCTCGCACCTGTGTCAGCCCCGACACCGTGTGTGATCTTCACAGCTTGAGAGTCTTGGCTCACGAGGGCGAGAAGAACCACGACGAAGAATGACGAGTGCATTGTGCTGACTCGCAGGCTGCTGCCGGAATCTTGTCGCTGTGCACAACGACGGGAATTGAGGAGCACGGGCTGAGACGGGGGGGGGCGCCCCCACATTGCATGTATTTACACATTGGCAGACCTGCCTGTATCGAAATGGCAGCCAATTGATGGCAGCGTCCACGGCGACGAGCAGATCCGTGCGACTAGCCATAACTTGCCTATCAGAATCTGCCTGTCTGCCTGCCTGTCTGTCTGTCTGCCTGTTTCTCTGTCTGTCTGCCTGTTTCTCTGTCTGTCTGTCTCTTTCTATCTCAGTGGATTTGGCAGCCATCGGCAGGCCCTAGCTAATCCCAAAGGAAGACTGTGGGCAGAAGTCAGAGGACTTGAGGTATACTTCATGACCCATACTACCGGCCGCCTTTTCACATTGGCGGAGGCTTACTCTCGCCATGTGGAAAAAGAAATAGGAAGGATCGCCAGATAGACATTGAGGTTCGCCCACAGGCACACAGGTGCGCGATTCCAGAGCACGCCTCTCTCGAAAAACAAGGGCGCAAAAGACGCATACGTACTAGGTGTTGGGGTGGTTGTGTGGGTGCTGTCTTGCATGGAGAGCGAAGGTACAGTTGAAGCGAAAGGCACATGTCCGTCGTATGAGCCCCAGCACTGCCGTCAGTCCTCCGTCGCCCACGCATACGTCAACACACACGCTATGTACACACACGTCACAGACATACACACAGAATGCACTATCGCCTCCCTCCCTCTGTCTTCCTCTAGAGCCCTGGTGAGGGTGGGTCAGCGTCCCCCGCAGAGGGCGGCACAGCAGCCGAGGGCGCGGCATGGGGCACAGACGGCGGCTCCACACCATACAAGCTGCCATGCAGGGCGCTGCGCTGCTCCTCCAGGCCCGTCTCAGACGCCCGTATACCGCTGTCGAGGGCGCCCCACGCCGCATCGAATGCAGACAACTGACACATAGAACCGCAAGAAGGGACAGGCAAGATCGTGGATAGTGTCGTGTCAGCCGCTTGGTTGTGTGTGTGTGTGTGTGTGTGTGTGGGCTGACCTTCTGTTTGGCCTCGACGGTCGCGCCATGTCGGTGCAGGGTGATGGCGTAGTTGAGCAGTGTCGCAAGATCGGGGCCATGCTCCAGGGCCTGGAAAAGCATACCATCCACCACACCTGTGAATGTGCGTGTGTAGTGTTGAGGCACCCACTGACCTTATCGAATGCATGGCATGCGTTGGCAAAGTCGTCTAGCTTCGAGAGGGCGATGGCCAGGTAGTGGTACGAGGGAGGGAAGTCCGGCTGATGGCACGCACAACAGGCACGCATTCATTGCCCCACTGACGCAGCTGCACTTTCCGCATCACACCTTGATGTTGATGGAGGCAGACAGGTAGTGGAACGCCGACGCATACTGACCTGCATTCACGCACAGAGGCGAGAGTGAGAGAACGATTCGGAACTCCCTGCAGGCGTGTGTCCATTCTGTCTGTGAGCGTGGCCCACCTGTCCTGAGGTGCACTAGCCCCAGGTTGTGGGCTATGATCCACTCGAACGGGTCGAGGTAGAGGGCCCTCTTGAGGCACGCCGCTGCCGCCACGAACTTCTCCTTGTGAAAGAAACACATCCCCACGTTGCTCCACAGCTGCGCCGAATGGGGCGTCTGCTGAGCCGCAACGCGATACTTACGCAACGCTACGTCGGTATCTGACTCACACCACACATACACGCAGGACACCATTGAGCAACCAGTGCCTCTCTCTGCCTGCCGCCCCTCCCCACGCACCTCCGTGGTCCTGTATGATGGATCCTGCGGCTAGAATGGCTTTCTCCTTGCGTGGGTCGATGGTGAGTGCGTTGCCGAGGTGCTCGAATGCCTTGGCGGTGTCGCCCAGCCGCAGGTAGTAGATGCCCAGGACGGCCAGCAGATCAGCAGAGTCGGGGTTGAACTCCAACGCCTCGCTGTAGACGTCTATGGCCGACCGAAAGTCATCGCGCAGGGCGTGCACACGACCCAGCTGGTGGAACGTCGCGTCGTGCCGATGGATGGAGTTCGCACTGAATGAATGGCAGCACCACCACCGAACAGATGGAATGGAAGCAATGAATGACCGCACAGATCCGATCCCTTTCCTGCCTCTGGTCTGTTTCGGCTTACTTTTCGAAGCAGACGACAGCCTCATTGTACTGCCTGAGGTGGACGTGGCAGAGGCCTTTGTGGTGCCAGGTGGCCCAGTCCTCCGGCTCTATCCTCTGCGCCTCCTCATACACGTCGAGTGCGGCTCGGTGGCGGCCCAGCAGATACAGCGACTTGGCCACCTGCTTGAGGTTGTTGAGGGCCTGCGGATTGAGGCACGCTGCCGCCTGGAACAGCGACAGGCTCTCGTGCACCCTTCCCTCCAGCCGCTTGTTGAGCCCCTTGACGAAGATGGCGTACTCACAAAGGCCCCGGCTCTCCTTGAGCACCTCCTCTATCACCCGGAGGCTGTCAGCGAAGTCATGACGCACATACAGGGCGTAGATGAGCCAGTTGAGCCGCTCGCGGAGAAGGGATGGTCTGGAAGTCCTGGAATCGCGCCTTGCGATGGCAGCTACTGGTGGCGAACGGCCCTCCTCGGTCATCTCGTCACCTTCTTCTCTCCTTACGCCAAAGTGATGAATGGAAGCTTGGAGGATGAAAAAGCTCGCAAGATGGCGCGCAGGAGGGAGGTGCAGATCTCTGACGTGCAACAACCATCCCAGCATCACGATGGATAGATGAAGCACGAAGCAGATGAAGCAGATGATGCAACTGATCCCGCCTGCCCTGCTTCTGCGAGACTATGTCCGTGTGAGGCAACCACGAGAGGAGTGTGCACTGATGAAGTAGCTGGTGGATCCGATTCATCATGTACGACAAGCAGCAGGCGCCATGTATCTTTCATCCTGGTGGTTGCATGTGCCACTCTCTGGACGTGTCTGAGCATCCCCGGGGCGCTTTCGTCCTCTTGTCGCGTCACAGAGGTGACGAATGTGGGCATAGAGGGCAGCGGGACCACTCATCTGGCCGCCCGTGTTCGGGCCTTCCACGGCGATGTGACTGTCACTCCAGTGGCTGGCCTCTCTATCGACACGGCACTCAACGGCACGACGACGGTCTTCGGCCCATTCACGAGTGCGTCGGCCGCCCTCGCCACACTCACTTACACGAGATGCCACACATATGAGGGCTATGATGTCATCCTCATCGAGTACGCGGCGACTGATGACAGCGGTGTCGATGCTGATCGTCTGTTGGCCGCGGTGGGTCAGTCTGTCACTGTGGATGTGGCGCAGACCGACCAGGGGACGGCTGGACTGGCCTCTCTGCCTCGCCTGGTGGCAGTGTCGCCGAGGGTGGTGCCGTGGGTGGGCGGAGCTACGGTGCATATGAAGGTGGATAATGGCCTCCCGCTGCTTGGTCTGGATGTCAGCTGCGAGTTCGAGGGAAATCGTGTGGGCAGCTATCGCAGCGCGACCGCAACCGCAGTGACGAGTGTCGTCTTTCGGTGCCTCGTGCCGCCGGTACGCGGGATATGAGGGGGGAGGAAACATCCGTTTAGCAGCCTCATCCCTCCGTCCGTGTGTATCTGTTCAGCTGCCCCGTTGTTTGTCTGGTTCCCATCCATCCTTCTGCACGGTGTACGTGTCCCTGGCGGCCTTCTCGACGGGTCCCGCCAGCAACCTCATCGCCACCCATCGCACATCCTTCCTTCCGCTGCTAGCTCACACACCCGTGGTGGTCCACTCCTTCCGCCCATCGCTCCTCTACGTGTCCACATCCTCACTGCTGACCGTCACGGGCGCGTTTCCCATCCCTGCTTCATCCTTTTGCTGGTTCGAGGGCCATGGCGCCGTCACGCCCACCTACGCCAACGACTCTGCAGTGCTATGCCGCACACCCACCACTCTCCCGGTTGGGCAGCATGATGTGGGTGTGGCTCTCGCTGAGGCAGGGCCCTTTGTCATGGCGCCAAGGAAGCTGCCGGTGGTCGACTCTCCGCCCAGGACGACTCACGTTGACCCACGGTGGCTCATTATGCCGCCCTCCTTTGCGCATCTGGCTCGGCGGACACAGAGGGGCGGGGCGGCCGTTCTGCGAGTGAAGGTGAAGGAGACAGTGGGCGAGCTATTCCCTTGGGTCGGCGCTGAGGGGCCGGCCATGTCACTGGCTCGGGCAGCAAGGAATGTCAAGTGTCGGGTGGGGACAGAACTAGTTGTTGCCGGCGGCCTGTCGACACTTGATCGCTCACAGGGTCTGACAGCTGCAACTGTGGAGGTCCTGTGCGAAGTTGAAGGCGACACGAGTGTCACGCTATCGAGCTCTTCGTACGGCGGTCTGCATGAGGTATCGGTGTCTCTGGACGGCGGGCAGCACTGGAGCAGTGCCTGGGGCAGCCCGGAGAGGTCGCGTGTGTTGATATTGGGAGGCGACCTGACAGTGTCGGAGCTGCGGCCCTCGGTGTTGATAATGGAGGAGGGCGGCAGTGGGGGTGGGTGGGTGCCTGTACATAGCTATCCCATCGCACTGGTGGGGGAGGGATTCGACAAGATCGGCGACATCATGGCCATATACCAAGGTGGGTAGCTGACGAGACAACCACCAGGCAAAAGGGCATCAAATGCAGATTCGTGGTCTGGTTTCTGCAGCCGATACTCCGCCACGTGCCGCTACACTCCAGTGCCGGTGGAGCCATCGAGAGGAGTGCTGGACCGTGGGCAGTGTGGTCAACGCCACGAGGCTGTCGTGCCCCCCGCCGGCTTCGTCATGTTTTGAGCCCCTGACAGGGACCGCATCGCAGATGTATGTGGAATCGCCCGCCATGGCCATTGTCGACCCGCGCACGGGAGATGCAGAGGTGTCGACATAGATAGAGCACGGCACCGGGAGTACATGGATTCGCTGCGTCGACTGTGTGTTTGTGTCAGGTTTTGGTCGCCGGGGGTCAGTGTCCGCCTCGCTCCCCCGTGTGTGTACTGGTCGCAATGCTCAAACCCGACGTCTGGTACGACGTGACACCACGTGTAGATTGTCACACGCATGCATCCGTGTGTGTGCGGTGTCCTGTTTAGGGTCCCCTCTGTGGCGTCATTGTCTTCGCCTCACCGTCAAGGGCTTCCCTCAGCCCGCAACATCGCTGTGACGCCTCTGACCGTGGCTGCAGCCGGCGGAGACACAATCGGTAAGGTGTATACAGACGGCATGCACAGTGATCCACGTGGGTACGATTCTGGTCTTTGTCGTTCTTCGTTTCGCCAGATGTGATGGTGACTTCTCTGCCGTCGATGGGCAAGGGGGGAGACGCCCATGACGACTCGTACACGACGGTCATGTGTCGGTTTCGGTCGATGCCTGGCGCGGCATCGACACACAACGTGGTAGCCCGGAGGCAGGGTGCGACAAGGATCGCGTGCACAGTGCCAACATGGACCGACACGCTCACAGGTGGGCACACGTCTCATAGGGGTCCTCGTGTAGAGCATGTGAATGTGCTTATGTGTGTGCATTAATTATACGATTCAGATTCATCTTATTGGGAGGTGACGGTGTCCTTCGATGGCGGTCTGACCCACCCCGACAGTTCTCTGGATGTGTCTGTGGCCTCTGCCACGCGGCAAGTGACGTCAGCCCCCCTGGCCATACCGCTGCTGGAGGCCACCAACATCCCCATCCCGGTCACGGCGACGGGCCTCACCAACCCCTCCATCTGCTGGCTGCTCGCAAACAATCAGTCATCGCCCGCACACGATGATCCGACGGCCATCCCATCATCCCAGCCGGCCCCATCGCTGGCATGGCTGCAGGGCGATGGCACTTATCGGTGCCTGCAGCGGCTGCCGCCCGCATGGACACACACCGGTGATCTGCGGGTGGTCCTCTCGCCTGCGTCACTCGTCATCGCGACCCACGTGGCCACTACTGACGTGACGGCGCCTGTGGGTCCCCAGCAGACGGTGCTGCCGCGGCCTCTCGCTGACGGTGTGTCGCCTCCTGCTATCGGTGAAGGAACGAGTCACATCGCCATCACCGGCCAGAACTTCCCCACCACCATTGGGGCAGCCGCGTGGTGCATCATCGGCTTCGCGTGGACCGACCCAGCACCGGAGTGGCAGCACGCAACCGTCGAGAGCGACACGACCGTCCGCTGCCCCATCCCCATCGCATGGCGGACGGGCCAAGCGTCGGCCGCTCTCAAATCTTCCGCGCGTCTGCCAGTCCTGCTCGCATGGTCGGCCGGCCAGCCAGGGACGGTGCTCAGAGGAGTGGGGCCTCAAACTGCGACGACAACTGTCGTTTCTGACACGTTTGAACATTCGGTGCGGTGGCTGGGCGGACTTGGGGGGACGGGAGGGGGGATGGCGGCTTACATCGTGGCCTTGAAGCCCCGAACCATCCGTGCAGCTGCCGCAACTTCGGTCCCGGCGCGCATAGAGGTCTCTGGTGCGGCGTTTCCTCTGTCGGTACCATGGCGCTGCAAGTTCACTCTCACCACTACGGCGGCCACCAGCGCCTCTGTTCTAGCCCTGTCGGTGCACTACCACACTCTCGTGTGTGAGCTGCCGTCCGTCGTGCTGTCGACCACCCGGCCGTCCCAGTGGGATGTGGAAGTCTATTCCGACGACCCGCCCCATCCCGCCAGCAATGCACTGAAGCTCGATGTACTACTTGAGCCAGCGACGGTTGTTCCAGCTCTGCCGGCAGGGGGGCGTCTTATGAGGGCTGATGGGCCCAGTGCGGCGTCTTACCGGTCGTCATACAGCACCACCTTCGTCCTGGACCCACCAGCGAGCGATGAACTGACCTGTGTGTCTCCTCTGTGCGTGCTGGTCAGTGCCGACGTCCCGAATGCGCAGTCGCTGATGCAGCGTGGAGACGTCACGAATGTGGGTGGAATTGTGACAATGGGCACTTCGTCGGAAGAGAGGACACCGGCAGGCGGGCTGACGTCCATCACATGCTCATTCGGCGACATGACCACTGGAGTGCCCATCGCCAGTGGCGGGGAGGGAGGGCACCGATTCCATGCTGGAGTCACCTGCGACGATCCCACCCACGCATTCGACGAGACCGTCAGCAATGCCACCTTTATGACGACTGATGTGTGGAGGGCCGTTCCCGTTGTGTGGCCCTCAGCTGGCTACCACGCCGGTGCCCTCGGGATCTCACGGCCGACCGGTGAAGTGGCCTATTCGCCACATTATGGACCGAAGACAGGCGGCACACGAATTCTGATGTGGGAGGGGAGAGGCCTCGCTTCGCTTGGGGATGCTCTCCGATGTGCTTTCACTGCAACCGACCGCACCGTGCCGCCTCTTGCAGAGAGAGAGGGTCCCGAGGCAGATGTGTACGTGACGGCGATCGTTCGTCTGAATGACACAATGTGGCGATGCGACGCACCTGCTGCGGCTGCGCTGGGCAGCGACGTTACAGAGGCTTTCGTGTGGCTGTCTGAAGACGGAGGGTGGACATGGCGCGAGGATGTGAGACTGAGGTTCCACTATGTCGACGTCCCGGTTGTGACTGAAGTTCGCCCTCGCAACATTGCGGTGAACAAACGAAAGAATGGCGTCGTCGATTCATTGCAAATTGTTTGCTTCTTTGCTTGCTTGTTGCTCGTGCAGGCGGCATCTGAGACGACCGTCATGCTCACGGGTCTGTCATTCGCACCCTCCCCGTACACGGCTTGCGCGTTCGATGGCAAGTGGCGGCTTCCCGCCCTGTTCGTCAACACGACCACCCTCATGTGCAGCACCCCGCCCACCGCCACCGCTGCCACGGCTCTTCCTCTAAGCCTGTCCATCGACGGCCAGCAGTCTCACCCCACCCCATTCGATGTCACCATTGTCGATGTTCCGCGAGCGACCGGTCTGAGTGTCCATCAGTACGAGATCCTGCCCGACGACACTCTCCTTCTGGCCGTGCTTGTGGCTGTGGAGCCCGGCAATGCATCGACCCCCGTGAGCGGCAGCCAGGGGTTCACGTGTCGCCTGAGTCCAATGAGCGACAGCTGGCGCCCAGGAGACGTTTTCTTGTCGTCACTCCCTGACGGCTATCTTGCCGATGCCTTGCCGAGGCTGACTAGCAGCAACATCACCGTCGTCTCCCAGGGTGAGGTCCTGTGTTCGTTTGTGGTGGCGGCGGACAGCTCTCTGTTGGCGTTGCCCCTTCTCAGCGACAACGGATGGCGCGTGTTCGAGGGGGTGGCGGCCACTGTCACGGTCGATATGAGCCTGGACGGCAGAGGAGAGGTCTTCACAAACCCCCCGCTTATGGTCACATTGCCGCCTCTCAACGCGCGTGTAACAGGTGTGTCGCCTTCTCATCTTATCTACGACACCAACCTACCCGTCACCATCCACGGCGGCCCCTTCCTCAACCTGACGACACTCCAATGCCGCTTTGGTGCCGATGTGCCGGGTGTGGCGCTGTGGGTCTCGTGGACGGCAGTTCTTTGCTACCCGGCGTCGGGAACGACTCTCGGAGCAGTTGGCGACTCCTTTCAGCCCCAGGTGTCTCACAATGGACGGCAGTGGCTGTCATCGAATAAGGCATCCATGACGCTCGTCAGCCGCCCCGTCGTCCAGGCAGTGGAGCCCAACTGGTGCAGCTCTGCTGGTGGTTGGGAGGTGCGCATCACGGGAAGCGGATTCACCTACGCGCCCCACCTCGGCTGCCAGTTTGGGACGCATTTTGTGGCTGGGGAGTACGTGGCGACTTCAGAGATCCACTGCACCTGCCCTGCTCTTGATACAGCGACAGCCACGCCCTTCTCGACCCCCCTGAGGGTGTTCGCGAACCTCATTGAGTCCGTGGAAGCAACGGCGTTCATATACGGCGATGCCCCGCAAGTGACGTCTCTCATGCCAGCAGCAGGGAGCCACAGCGGGTTCACAGTCGAGGTGTCCGTTGCAAACATTCGCGAGCAGCCATTGTCGCCCATCTGCCGCCTTATTGGCGCCAAGATTGACGTGTATCCGGCTCAGGTGTCGCCTGTGGGGCCTTCACACCTGCTGAACTTCACCTGTGCGCTGCCGCCGCTGTCCAAGAAGCGCATCTCTCGGGGCTTGTGGGGGGACGTGCTGTTTGTGGAAGACCTCGTCACCGAGTCCCCTCGTCCGGTGCGGCGACGGCTGACGTCTGATGGTGTTGAGGTCGCCTACCGCGAGAAAGCAGACGGGACTCTTCTACTGAGGCTGCTGCCTTCATGGCGCTTCCTACCCACTTCCGCACAAGAGGATGACGGCAGCGTTGCACCGGTGTTTGTCGATGCCGCCAATCTCCCCATCGGGGCTGAGTCAGACCCCGTGTGCGTGTGGTTCGACACCCCATCGGTGGCATCTGGTGTGGCCTACCGTGCGAGATCGTTGGTGTTAAGCCAAGTGGCGGTCCTCTGCCCCTTTCCACCGCGGTCGGTCCTTCCTCTGGGCAGCATCGAGAGCGGCACGCCGGCACGTCTCTACCTCGGCCTGGCCTCACCTGCTGCTGCAGGCGACTTTGCGACGGACCTCGCTCTCCCCTCCACCTCACAGCCGACGGCACCGATCGAGCTCATCCATGGGCCGCTCCCGAACCTCTCGTCGTCTGGTCTGCTGCCGCTTTGGGTGCGCCAGCAGCCCTCCGTCACGTCCATCAGCCCTGCCAGCGGCTCACGGCGTGGTGGCTATTCAGCCATTGTGGCAGGTGAAGGCATGCCTGTGGGTGTGGTGTACGCGGCGTGTCTGCTGGATGCGGGTGGCATGACGGTGAAGGTGGGCGCCACAATGATATCGGCTGAGGAGGTGGTGTGCAACCTGAAAGAGTCCGACGTCATTTACACGACTGCGGCGGGGCCGATGCCCACCAACCAGGTAGGTAAAATAGAAAGAGAGAGAGAAGAGTGGAAGTTGATTGGACGATGTGTCTGTCTTTTACTCCAGGCCATCCCTCTCTCGCTCACCTTCCACGAAGACGGCTACGAGACCATCAGCACGGGACTCAGCCTGTGGCTGTACGACGACCCGCAGGTGGAGGAGTGGCTGCCGCCGGTCATCCTCGCCGACGGCAGCAGCGCTGAGGTCGTCTTCCATCTTGCCGACACCTTCGCACAGTCGACTCCCTGGCTGAGGGGAGATCCCCTGCACTGCGGGTGGATACTCAGCGACACTGTCGATCCCAATGGAGGCGAGCCCCCGGTGCCTGGCTCAATCACCCTCGCTAATCGACTCAACTCGACCCACGGCCGGTGCGACATCTCTGCAGCACGGCGGGGGACCTTCCAGCTGGCGCTGTCGGTCCAGCCTGACGCAGCGGCGCTTGTCCCATGGATCCCCACACGAGCCATACTCCAGGCGATTGATCCGATCTTCATTGACGCCCCCCTTCAGTCGCTGGTGCAGCTGCAGACAACTAATGGGGCGGCCAAACGATTGGACTTTCATTTCCGCGGGTGTTGTTTCACGAGCAATGTGACTGTGTGGAGTCGATTCCAGCACACGACGACCGGAGCAGTGCAGCGGCCGACGTACGCTCCGTCAGGCGCCTCCGCGCCCGAGTGGCTGCCTTGTGTGGCTGACTTTGAGACGGTGCTGGGATGCGTGTGGCCTGGCGGCACGGTGCCGCCTGATGAAGGCGACTTGGACGTCAGCTTGATGGTGATGCCGCTTGCGTGTCCACCGACAGAGGCAGGGGGCGACAGCTGTGACGAATGGGTCAGGCGATTCGGCATCGCACTCGGGACCTTCACATTCAACGTCGAAGAAGCGTCCACCGGGCCCTTCTCGATCAAGCCCGCAGTGATCCCGATGTACTCGTCATCGCACGTGTGGGTGCGCGGCGGTCGCTTCTCCCCTCGATTCCAGCACCAATGCTGGTGGCTGCTCGACAGCACGTCCCTCTCCAAGACCGCCGAGGTGATCGCCGACTCGCTCCCGCCATCCCTGCCCACTCGGGCGATGTGGGTCAATGAGACTGCCGTTCGGTGCACTGCCATCCCTCCACAGATCCAGCAAATTGATGCGGAGAGGCTACTCGACGGGGCCAGACTCACCTTTGTGCTCTGCTCTGGAAGCACGCCATGCAGCACCAACAGAGGCCGGACCGTGCACAGCGACGCAGATGTGGTGGGGTCCGTGGATCTCTACCGACCTGGACGGCTGGCGTCTGTGTCCCCCTATGTGCTCTTCGCCGGCCTGTCGGCACCGGGACCGGACATGCAGCTGGCGGTGAAGGACGGCCTCTTCCCCGTCCACCGACTGACCTGCCGATGTCACTTCGGGGGCCTCGGCACGACGGCTGCGTCACCCATGCCAGATGACACTGCATCCCTGTCAACGGCATCAGCACTGACGTCAGGGACTGATGTGGTGTCTTGCCCAGTCACCAGCGGCCTTGTGTCAGGCCCGATGGAGCTCTTCCTCACCTGTGGTGACGAGTATGACCCCAGCACGCCCGCAGAGGAGGTAACGGCAGCCTTCGTCCACAGCCCACTGCCCGCTGGTGCAACTGTGCGAGTCTATGAGGTGCCTCTGATCGAGAGCGTGGTGCCTTCGGTCGTGCACCGGACGACTGGGTCGGTGCGAGTGGTGGTGTACCTGCAGAACTGGCAGACGATCGGTGCCATGGAGCTCGGCAGCAACCTGGGCGGGTGCAGGGTGGGAACGAGTGGTCCTGTCGGAGAGGTCATCCCCCTCCCCGCCACCGCCATGCCCGCTGTGGTGCACTCAAACTCCGTCGCGCCTGGCTCTTCGGCGATAGGATGCCTGTGGTCAAGTGCGGCAGCACTGCCGGTCGGCCCTTCATCCCTCTACCTTCAACTCAGCGGACAATGGATCGACACATATCATGATGTCCAAGTGCTCGAACCACCAGCCATCATCCCAGCTGCCTCAGCCCCACGGCCTCTGTGCGCCGAGAACTTCCCATGTCCCGTCTTCATTGGCGCGTCGGGTCTGAACCCTGGAGCCAGCTATGGGTGTGTGTACACGTTGCCCAGTCTTGGCTGCTTCCCGCCCAGTTGGACGGCCCTGTTTCCGTCGCTCGACAGCCCATCGGGGACCTGCGAGTATGTGGAGAGGGCAGTGGAGGGCCTGGTCGTCAACACGTCGTCTCTGCTGTGCGTGAGCCCCCCGATGCCGCCCTCATTCCCGTCGAAGGGACTGCCGCAGCTCCGTGTTTACAGCCCTTACCTCTCCCGAGGGCCCGCTCTCGTGTCGATGGACCTGCTCACTTTGCCGTTTGTGATGCTGACTGCGGTGTCGCCCCGATTGGTTGTGTTGGATGACGAGTACTGCCCCGACAGCTGTCCGTCGACCGACATTCGTCTATGCGTCCAGAATGATCCGGTGGTGGTCCCGGGAGAGGTCGGTGATGGCAAGCTGGCTGAGGCGTGGCGGTTCGCCGCGGCAAATGGCGGGCTGAGAGAGGTGCGGTGCCGATCTCGAACAGGCGTGGCGGATGGGGTGCATGACGGGCCGGTCGCCGACGTCGCCTTCACCGATGTCTCGCTGGATGCGGACGGTGATGCATTTGAGTGTGCCGATGCGGTGACAAAACTATGGTCGCTGCGATCCCAACTGGAGGCCAGCATCACATCTGATAGCTATCCGGCTGTGCAGCTGACTGTGGACCTCGTCGTGACGAGAGGCGACACTGTCCTCACCCTCAGCTCTCCTTCGAGTGTGTTTGCTCTCACGACCGTCCCTGTCGTCACTGGAGTGGAGCCAAGAGCGATCCCTCAGAGCATGAGCGTGACGCTAACGCTGACTGGAACACGATTTGTCAACCACGAGGAGGCGTGCTGCCAGATCCAGCAGCACCGGACAGCGGGGCCGGTGAATCTCTCGACATCCCGCCTTCGGTGGGTTTCCCCGTTCATGGCCTCATGCGTGGTGCCCCCCATTGAGGACGCCTCAGCCGCAGTCGACGTCCGGGTGTCGACCAACTGTTTGCAGTCCCCTGCACGTCCTTCCGCTACCCTGCCACTTGTAGTGGTGCCCGTCATCACTTCGGTTGAGCCTGCAGCTGTGCTGCCGGGGCAAGCGACGAGACTGATCATCAAAGGTGTCGACTTCTCTCGAATACACGACCTGCGCATCCGGGTATGCCATAAGCAACCAGAGCTCACTCTTAATTTATGACATGTGCATGTGGGTGTGGTGTGTGGTGTGTGCTCTAGGCTGGTACCGAGCTGCTGCAGAACACAGTAGTGCTGAACAGCACTACCATGTCGGCCACGGCCCCCCTGCCCCCTCCCCGCCCACCCGCCATCTGGTCCTTCCAGGTCCCGATAACACTCTCACCGGACGGCGGGGCATCATGGCTGCCGAACACACCGTCGGTGTTCCTTGAGTATCATCGCCCGCCGTCTGTCCATGCCATCAGGCCGTCCCTCGTCGTCGCAGGACAGTCCGCGTCCATCCGTCTCATTGGCGGCTTCGACCCATCCACCAGCTACGCTGTCCGGTTGTCTCGGAGCGTTGAGGTCATTGACAAGGGCTTTCTTGAGGGCTTCACGAGGGACATGCCCTGCCAGCACCTCCATGCCAACGGCAGCGAGTTGGCGTGTCCCCTTCCTGCATCGCTGGAAGTGCATGCCCGCGCCCCAAACACCCCGGGAGACACCGCCGACCAGGTGGTTGCTGGCGACGAGCTGACGGTGCAGCTGCGCGCTGGGGTGACCGAGCAGTGGCTGGCCTTCGGCGCAGACCACCGTTTGACGTTCGTGCCGTCTCAGATTGAGGTCCTCAGCGTGTCGCCGAAGTTCTTGCCCGTCGTGCCTGCTGATCTGGCTACGGGGTGGACATCTGTGGTGCCAAGAGAGGGCATCGGCGTCCTCATGACGCTGGCAGGAGCGGGCTCATGGACCGCTGCGGCTCCGCTGTGTCGGTTGAGATGTGACAGGAGTGGGAGCCTGGCCGATGACCTGGTTCTTCAAGGCATATGGCGGGGGACGGCAGCGAGTGACGCCGCTGGCGTGCAGGTGGCCATGTGCTGGTGGGAGCAGGACACACCGCTGGCGGCGAATAATCTGCTGGATCAGCAGCTGGAGCCCGAATGTGCAGTCGACGTGTCGCCAAATGGAGATCAGTGGGTGACGGATGCATCCCAACGAATGGTGGCGCTCTACCGCTACGAGGCTGTCCGCTTCACCCGACTCGCCCCCATGACGGTGCCGGTTGCCTCGGCAAGTCTCGTCACACTCCACGGGGTCAACATTCCCTGCTCGAGCGACATACACGTCGACCTCACCACCGTGTCCGCCTCTGCCCTGTGCGTCAACTCAACTGCCGTGCGGTTCTTCTCGCCTGAGGTGTCCGGACCTGGCGTCCTCGCCATCAGCGTGGCGTTCGGGCTGGGAGCTGCCTTCCACACGACGGGCTTGAGCCTCACGTTTGTCGAGTCGCCCGTCATATTGGTGGTGAGCCCCCCTGAGCTGCCGCTTCAGCAGGGTGCCGCAGCGACACGCGTACAGCAGCTGGATGTGTGGGGTCACTATTTCACCGACACGCTCAAGTGCCGATTCTCTGTCCCGGGACCTGACGGCAATCTCGACGACTACAGACACGTGACGAGTGACATCACCTACGTCGACTCGGAGCACTTGCGGTGCGACGCCCCGTCTATCTCACAGCCGCAGCTGGACGGATCGGCCTGTCTCGTGCAGCTGGTCGACACTGAAAGCCCCGCCGTCTCTCAACACTACCAATTGACCGTCCATTCGCCGCCCGTCTTGGCGTCTGTGTTGCCGGCGGGAGGCAGAGAGACAGGAGGGCCTCTTATTCGTGTCAGCGGGACGGGCTTCCGGTCCTCGGCAGACCTGGCGTGCGTCTTTGACGGCGTGCAGGTGGTGGCGCCTTTGTCGGTGTCTGGATCGAGTGTGGCGTGCTATGCTCCCACCATCCCAGCCATCGGCCACCTCTTCTCCGCCGTGTCCGTCCATGTGCAGAATGCAGCAGGGCAGCTGTCAGCCAATGCTCTGGCGTATGCAGTGGCACCTCAACTAACGGCCACCCTGCTCTCTTCGCCGGTGTGCTTCACTCTCGGAGGCCCCTTCCAGCTGATCCAGATCGTATCGGCAGATGGAAACAGCGTCACGTTGCATCGCCACCACCTCTCGTGTCTGTTCGTCACGGAGTCCCCCGACCCTCTCGATGCCCACACAGTGCCCGCCGTGCACCAGAGCCCGACCGTCGTGAGCTGCCTGTGTCCCGGCTACGCGACGGCAGGCCAGACAGTCAAGCTGTTCCTCAGAGTGGACGACAACCCTCTCGTGGATGTCACAGCGATCGACGTGCTGCCTTCGCCCACACTGGAGACGGTCACGCCGGATGTGTGGATCCGTGGGTCAGGCTTAGATGCCGTGGTGAAAGGGAGGGACTTCGCAACAGACGCACAGCTGCCTGTCGAGTGTGCTCTGGTGAGGATGGTGTCGTCGGCCGACAGCGACACATCTGCGGTAATCAACGACCCCGTGTTGCTTCCTGCCGGCGACCAGCTGGTCCTCGAGACACGCCTTCAGTCATCGCAACGCGTTGAATGCACTCTGGCGCAAGAGACTGCTCTGCTGGCTCAAGTTGATGAGTTCTTCAGCGTTGCGGAGGTGGCCTTGGTGCTGCAGGCGAAAAGCCCAGCTGGATATGAGGAGGCCCTCGGCCACACCAGGAGCATCCTCACGGCACCATATTTCCTGCTTGCGGCGGATCTACCCACGCCCCTCTCAGTGGAGCCTGTGATCGTCCCGTCACCGATCGATCAGCCAGCGATCATCACGGTGACCTTCTCGCCACAAACCCGTCTCACAGCATTGGCGGGCCGCGCCGCCCTCGTGTGCCGACTGAGGTGGATGGATGAGGCCACAGGGTTACTTGAGCTGGAGAGCTTTGTCATTTCCGACACGGAGCTGCTGTGCCGTTTCCCTTCACACCTGCCCGTAGAGCACTCCATCGCCTTCCTGTCGGTCACTTTCGCCGGCTTGTCGACGACTGGGGACATACCTCTCTTCTTCCCCTCTCGAGTCTCGTTGGTCTCGGCTGACGGCAGCCCGTCGGCGACCAACCCGTTCTTGCCGACCTCTCTGGCTCTCACGACAACCACGTCTCGCCTGGATGCTGCGAGTGAAGCCCTCGCCACCGGCAGCCACCCCACCTGGTGTGATGTCGCGGACATGCTGCAGCGCTTCCCCGCCGTCATGAGTATCGACCTGAGCTCGGCTGGAAGTCGCACATTGCAGCTCTTCTGCAGTCCGTCACAGCCGATCGAGGTGCGGCGAGGGGCATTGGCGACAGCAAGGTGGGCCATCAATGGGAGACCTGCAAACAGCTGGGCGAGCGCTCTGACAGATGCAAGTGGAGGTGTGCAGCTGGTGGTGCTGCCGAGGTTCGCTCTCGTGACAATCGAGCCCTCGCCTGTGCCGATGGACAGTCCCACGCTCTTGACCATTTCCGTGGAGGGTCTTGCCGGCGTCTCTGCGGCCATCGTGGCGGCGCTGCAGCCTGTGTGCCGCTTCACTGAGTGCGTTGTCGGAAGTGTCACTGACGCCCTCCAGGGGTTCAAGAGGAGCTTCCCCTACACGCTGGCGGACACATCGGCAACCCTGAGTGTTGGTGCTCCGAGCAGCGTGTCCTGCACCTCACCGCCTCTTCCCACCTCAGCCATGGGCGAGGGAAGGCATGTGACCTGTCAGCTACAGGTTCTGCTCGACCAATTCCATGGTTCCCTCACATCTATCCCATTCACTTTCGTCGCCCCGGCAACTGTCATGGCAGTCGGCTTCCCTCTCCACACGTACGCGTCTGGCTCGACGTCCGCCGCATCGCCACCCATCAGCGTCGAGGGGCTCTTCCGACCCTCACACATGGTGCGCTGCCGCATCGGGGGTATGGAAGGCACTGTGGTCCACATCACAGGCACGGCTATGCTCTGTGAGCCGGACGGACTGACGGCCCCCGGCAGCCACGTCGTCGAGGTGTCGAACGTGCTGGAGGGGTGGGTGGGGGCTGACAGCGATGTCCGCCTGGAGGTGAATGTGAGGCCTAGCCTGGTGGCCTTGCTGTCGGATAAGACTTCGCCACTGATGCAACAGACCCTTCAAATACAGACGGCGGCGTTTCCTCGCGACAGAGATGTCAGGTGTCTCTTCCTGCCCTCACCAGCCACCTCATCGTCGGCACAAGTGGTGCGGTCGACCGGCCTCCGCCTCAGTCAAGACCGGGTGGCGTGCGTGTTTCCGGCCGCCGTCACCGAGGCGCACATCTTCAACGTGGAGCTTCGGTCTGAGTCCAATCTTGTGGTCAAGAGTCCGGGACGGCTTGAGACAGTGCGCTCGCCCATCCTCACAGCGGTGGAGCCCATCGTAGCAAGCTTGGAGCAGGTCGTGACGCTGCAGCTGTCGGGGCACTTCTTTGACACGGCAGCGGCGTCGCCCGAGTGCCACTGGACGATCGCTCAAGACCCGACAGAGGACCCTCTCGACATCCCGCTGATTGAGATGCAGACGCCTGCATCAGTCTCCTCACCCAACGCGATGACGTGTCCATCACCCCTGCCCACGGTCCCCCGAGGCTCGTCATTTTGGGCCACTCTGTCGCTCTCGATGGCCACCGACGCAGCCAGCCCGACGCACTTTCAGCTTCGTCTGCAGCCGGAGGCCGTCATCTTGGCCGGGGCTGCATCGGCGGGCCATCCCCTATTTGACCACGTCCTGCCAGGACAGCGGCTGCAATTTGATGGCGCGGGATTCCATTCGTCAACTGTGTTGTGCTACCTGCGGCATTCTATCGGCGGGACAGAATACTGGATCAGAGCTGTGGAGGCGGACGCGTGTACGGGTCTCGTCGCCTGCATGATGCCCTCCGGCGTCCCGCCTGGCACGTGGCTCCTCGGCCTGGCGCCCAACAGCCTGCAGGTGCCCACCTACTTGTACGACATCGAAATGCTCAGGACCGTGGCGGTCACTTCTGCGATTCCGATGAGCTTCCCCGTCACCCGTGGCTTCCCCTTGACGCTGAAGAGCACTGGCGTGGATGTGGCGATCCAGGGCAGTGCCGACACGACGTGTCTGCTGATGCCCCCGACTGGGAGCCCGCCTGGAATGTCGACTAACGGCAGCATGGGGGTGCTCGTGATGGATACTGAGACGCTGCAGTGCTGGACTGGCGATATGACGACAGGCTGGTCGGCCAACGTGACTCTGCGCATCGACGGGGCCATTGCGGACACCGAGCTGCCTCTCGTCAGCATTCTAGCGCCCGCTGTCATCCAAAGCACAACGCCCGCCGTGCTGACTCTTCCCTCAGTTTCGGACAGCCCGGCCAGCATCCCAGACATCGTCATCACCTTTGCATCGCCCCAGTCTGGAGACATGGCCACCCTGCCTCTCTCCCTTATCGTGGGATTTGAAGACACCGCCGCATTCGGACACGTCACAGTCGAGCTGACGCCCACATGGACGCCGGCAGACACGGTGACAGCGTCAGCCGCAGCCCTCCTCGCGTTGAAGGAGTCGACTGCCTTGGACCCATCTGTGCCGATGGTGCGCTTGAGTGTGCGGCTGAGGCAGTCCGGCACCTTCAACGAGCAGCAGGATGGCGGCTTCGTCGCCACACACGTCCGTGCAGCAGCCCACCTGCCGCAAGCATGGGCTTTGTTGCCGCCTATCGTTGCGTGGCCGACCCAGGACCACCGGGTGCCGATTGTGGTCGTCAAGGGGCGCCATTTCGTGTCGACCTTCCACGTGCGATGCCGATGGGGCACCAGCATTGACGAGGGGCCGCCAAACGCCTACCTACTCGACTCGGACCAGGTGGCGTGTCGCCTCCCCATTGACCGCTTGGTCTTCGGGTCGGCGTCGTCTGTGCAGTACGCCCTGACGGTGTCGATGGACGGCGGAGATCGGCATGCGGCAGAGTCATTGACGGTGACGATCGTGCCGCCCTTCCAGGTGGGAGATGTGAACCCTCCCTCGGTGCCAAGAGGTGCGCAGGCGGTGGTGTCGCTGGGTGTGTCGCCCAACTTGCCCGTCGCGCCCAACCTCAAATGTGCATTCGGACTCGGTAAACAAGCAAGACAGAGGGGCAAAGACGAGGCTCATTCTGGATTATCTCATTCTGCAGGTCTCGACGCGTTCGTTCCAGCCTTGCTGCTGGCAAGTGGTCGTCTCCTGTGCCCTTCCATACCCACATCCCTCTCTGCCTCATCGGCTGATGTCACAGCTGCGATCATTCCGGACACGCCAACGGACTTCGACGATTGGGCGGCTTTCGCAACATCTGCCGGCACCTTCACCCTGCAGCCCCCACCTTTCTTCCAAGACGCACTGCCGCGTGTGGTAGCGCTAAGTGAGCCCGTGACGATCCACGGCAAGTACAGCAGCATGCCCTCCTTCGATGCGGCCGACGTCGTGTGCGGGTGGGTGGCGATGGAAGGCAGGCTGGACGCCCTGACGAGCACAGACGGCCGGCTCCCCAACAGCCACACTGAGACGACAGCTGCAACGACCTACACAGTGACCTCGGTGGTCTGCCCCGCGCCGTCATCTACTAGCTATGCCGGGCGGGTCCTGGCTCTCTTGGTGTCTTTCGACGGCGGCCGGGCCTACCGGGAAACCATGCTGACAGTGCGTGTGTACGGCGAGGGCGGCACGGCCGCCATGGCGGCGACGATCCGCCCACGAGAGGCTTACGAGGGCATCCCCACGCTGCACACGATTACTGGGGGCGACTTCGCTGACCTCTTCAGCATCGCCTGTCGATTCACCCACATCATCGACGCGTCCCAGCAAACGACGTATGCAACGGCAGTGAGCCGGACATCAGTCACGTGCAGCTCGCCAGCCAACCTTGCGCCGGGAACCTATGACGTCAGCCTGGAGCATCACATGCAAGATGAGACCTACACCCTTCAGCGAGACGCGGCGGCAATGACCATCACCGTGGTCCCTGCCCTCTCCCTTGCATCGGTCTCGCCGGCATGGGCCCCCGTGGCGAGCCCCACTGTCGTTCTGGTGAAGGCCATCTATCTGCCCGACGACCGCCTTCTGTCGTGTCACTTCGGGTCGGCACTACTCCATCCCGCAGAGCGGCTAAGTGCGACCCAGCTGCAGTGCCTGACGCCGCGATACGCCCCAGGTGTGACGACCCTGTCCATCATCCCCGAGGGCCCGGCTGGCGATCTCCATGTGGCGTCGCTTCCCTTCACCTTCCTCGACATGCCTTTCGTCAAGGCCGTCTCGCCCCTGGTGGCAGCGGCCGACACCACCGGGCAGACTGTCACGGTTATGGGCTTCCGATTCTCACCCGTGGTGGACGCTGGCCTCACTGTCCACTGCCGCTTTGCTGATGCGGCTGACGTGGTTGCGACGCGAGTGCTGCAAGCAGGGATCGGCCTTGAGGGCCCTGACGCTGCCGAGGAGTTTGAGTGCATCGCTCCCAGCTATCCCGTGACGGTGGGCGAGGTGCCTTTGTATCTGATCATCGACGGGTGGCTCCATGTGCTCGCTACCGCACATTTCAAGTTCGTCACGACCCCAGCGGTCGAGGTGGCGCATCCGCCTGTGGTTGTGGAGCGGAGCCTCATGCCGCTGAGCGTGAGGGGCACCCACTTCCATGGCACACACCCTCTGCGCTGCTACGTGCGATCATACGCATCGTCGTTGCTGCTTGGGAGTGTGCCCGCCACGTATGTGAGCAGCAACGAGGTCTTCTGCCCTCTCGCAATGCTCGACCACACAGCAACGGCGACGCTCGTGGCTGAACGGGGCTTTGTCCAAATAGGGCTGTCGGATACTGCTCTCTCACCCACTCATGCGAGGAGCGTCGTCACAGCCATCAGTGCCCCGGTTGTCGGAGTGCAGCCCACGTCAGCGAAGGTGTCCATCAGCACCCCAAGTCTCGTCACTCTGGAGGGCGGCAACTCCACCATCCACATCGACGTGGCCCCCGTCTGCATGGTCGACCGCACGGGATTGCTGACCAAGGTGGGCGGACCTTACAGCGCCCTCGAGGTCTTGCCGGCTGTGCAGACCAGCAACACGACAATTGAGTGTGTGCTGGTCCCAGACGGCACCGACCGAAACGTGGATGTGTACGTGGGCGTCAAGGAAGGCGGAAGTGCCTTGTCTCAGCCGGGCTGGGCGGGCGCCGTGCGGACGAGTCGTCAGGGGTGGTCGGTGGCGGAGGTGACGCCGGATCAGATCCCCGTGGGGCAGGCTGTGCCCATTACAATCACAGGGAGCTTCGTTGACCTCAACCAGGCATCCACCATCACATGCCACTTCTACTCTGCAAGGTAGGCCACACACACAACCAAGTCTACACTTCCTGTCCGTGATACTCCTGTTTTTGGCTGTCCCCTTTCTGTCAGTTTGAGTGCGGCCGCGCTCTTCGTGGATTCGAACACCCTTACGTGTACGAGTCCGCTATTGCCTCATGAGGGTATTGATTTCCTGTACATGACGGCGGCCGTCCCCCACCCCGTGTGGCTGGACCTCGAGGCCAAACCCGTTCGCGTCTTCATTGAGCCCACGATCGCCACCATCACCCCCACACAAGTCACCGACATCGGAGGGGTGGCCATGGAGGTGAGGGGAGGCCGCTTCTTCCCCTCAGCCCAGCTAGTGTGTCTGTTCGAGTCCAGCAACCCTCTCATGCCCGCTGTGGTCTCCACAACAGCCGAGTACCAGACCGCCTTTGTCGTCACGTGTCCCACACCCGACAGTCTCCCGCCAGGCAGCGCGCAGGTGTCGGTCAGCATCAACGGGGGAGCGACGGCGTCCAATAAGCTTAGCTTCACCGTTGTGACGAGCTACTCTATGTCAAGCCTGGAGAGCACCGTTGTAGCTACGGATGCGCTCACGGTCCCATCGTCGAGTGTGTGGCTGGGCGCCCCCTACTCCACTGCCATCGTCGTGGGCGGTGCGGGATTCAGCCGGTTCGAGGGAGGCGGACTCATGTGCGCCCTTGTCTGCATGGACGCTGCGTGCGGGGCGTCCATCGTCACGGCGTCCATCCTCTCCGACACACGCGTCGCCTGTGCCGTCCCTTCGAGCCTTGTGGATACGTCTGACGTGGCAACTGAGCGCATGTCGGTATCTCTTGTCCATCCGTGGCAGACGCCCCTCAACCTCATCCACGACATGTCGGCCCCTCTGGTCGCCGACCCCCTCAAGACGCGACTCACCGTGACCGCCATATCGCCTTTGTCGGGATGGCTCAGCGGAGGCACATCCGTGGTTGTTGCCGGCACTGACCTGCCCTCATCTATCACCGACTTCCGCGGCAACCAGGCTGTGTGGTGCCTCTTCGGCACTGCCCTCGTGTCGGCCACCGGGGCAACAGGCACAACCGTGACCTGCCCATCGCCAGCAGCTGCCACCGCTCAGGACGTACCCCTTCGGCTGCTGTTCCGCAGCGGGCGGTCAACAATCGAGACGGCTCCATTGCCCTTCCGCTACATGCCCTCATTCGAGGTCGTCCAGACGATCCCCACACATGGACCGGCAGGCGGAGGGACAAAGGTGCGCGTGTTGCTGTCCATTCTGCCATGGGGAGGTGCATTCGACTGCGTCTTCGGTGCCCTTCGGGTGCCGGCCTTGGTGACGACATTCAACGAGCTGCTCTGCACGTCGCCGGGAGGGGACCCATCGCTCACGCCAGCGTGTCTGCGGGCAGTGGTGCGAGGAGAAGCAGCACCGATCGGTCCGTGTGATGGTGCCGACTTCACCTTCTACAGCAACCCCTTCATCGACTCGGTCACACCAGCAAGCGTCCCGATGACTGGTGGATCGCTTCTGAGCGTCATCGGCAAGTACCCGGACCTTTCGGCGGTTTTGCCCCCACCGCTTTGTCGGTTTGACGCGGAGTACGTGTCGGAGGGACGCCATGTCAACACGTCTATCGTGGAGTGTGTGACTCCGCGGCACGTCTATGCAGGGAGCAGCATGTCGTATGAGGCTGACCTGACACTCTCCTTCAACGACGGCCACGACTGGGTGCACACTCCCGCTAAAGTGCTCTTTGGGTCACCGATGCTCGTGGAATCAGTCGTACCTGACTTCGGCCCAATCGCCGGCAACACCACCATCGTCATGACCGTGTCGAGCGTAGCGTATGTGGATTCATTGGCCGCGGTCGATTGCTGCTTTGACACAGAGACGACAGCCGCCACGCTGCTTCCTCCATCGGCCGATGGCTTATCGCGGTATGAATGCGCCAGTCCCCCTTCGCCCACGTCAGCTGAGGTTCGCGTGCAAGTGGCCCTCACGCAGGGGGACGAGCGGTGCTTCTTCAACTCGGGCAAATACTTCACGTAAGAGCAACACAAAAACACCCACCCACATTGCATGCTGTCCACTGGTCGTTGCGCCCATTTCCTTTAGGTACGTGGAGCCCTGGAACGTAACATCTGTTGACCCCATCGAGGGTCCTGAGACAGGAGGCACTCTCGTGCTCGTCAGCGGCCACAACTTCCGACAGACCCCCTCACTCAGATGTCGGTTCGGGCCGGACCCCGACGGCATCGGTCGTGGCGTGTATTCCGATGCGGCCGCGCTCATCCAGCCCAACCTGCTGCTGTGCACCACACCCCCACTGCCATGGAGTGCTACCCCACGCACAATGTACGTCACGGTCAACGGCGCTGACTACCTCGCCAGCGGGGCTGGGCCGGCAGTCGAGTACACCTTCCATCGAGCAGTGGTTGTCGAGACGGTCGAGCCGAGTGTCGTCTTCGACTTTGGAGGGGCCAATGTGGCAGTGCGCGGATCCAACTTCGGCTCATTCATCACTCAATGCAAGTTCCGTGACGGGGCGGCGTACCTGACCCCCGCAACGGTGGACAACTCGACGACTGTGAACTGCCCGACGCCTGCATGGGACATCGCGCGATTCGGTGCCACGACCACCATCCAGCTGTCGCTCAACACGAGAGACTTCGTGTCAGGGCCTCTCATCAGTTTCGTGGCGGCTCCCGAGGTGACAGCCATCGAGCCGCGCGAGGGCCCCGCCGATGGGGGCACAGTGGTCACGGTGTACGGCCAGACCTATGGGCTGCCTGTGTCGATCCCTCCGTGGACCATCGCCTGTGTGTTTGGGCCCAATGAGGTGCCCACCACAGTCATCTCGGAGACGGAGCTGACGTGTGTGGTGCCGGCGAATGTGCCTGCCGCGGAGACCTACGTGGTGTTTTACTTGCGTCTGATCTCCGGCGGGACGATTCAGAATCTCGATCGAGGCCTGCTCACACACATCTTCTACTACAGACAACCGGTGAGGGGAAACGATACGAAACCGACAAAAGCGACAGCCAAGTAAGTTCACGCCTCTATGCTATGTGCTCGTTTCAGGACTTCGATGTCGAGTTGGCTGAGCCACTCTCTGGTCCCCTCACCGGCGGCACTCTTGTATCGTTGTACGCCGACTCAACCACCGGGGCGGTGTTCCGCAACAGCCGCCTCACTCAATGCGTCTTCGCGACGACGTATGCCGTCATGGCATGGATCAACGACACCCTCATCACATGCACGGCCCCATCCGTCAACCTTCCGCAGTACGTGCAGTTTGCGCTGTCGAGCGACGGGCAGAACGTGCTCCCCATCGGCCCCGGAGGCACCCACCTGCAGTACCATTACTATCTCACTCCGTCCATCGCGCGAGTGACACCCCCGTTCGGCACGATGGAGGGCGGCACGGTTGTGCAGGTGGAGGGCGCGCACTTCATCGACGACCCCAAATTCATGTGCCGCTTCAACGTGACCACCGTGCCCATCCACCGCTTCATATCTTCCAACCTCATCCTATGCAAGACACCCAAGCACTTCCCAGGCACCGTGACCGTCTCTGTCGCCAACAACGGACAGAACTTCGTCGCCACCACTGTGGAGTATGACTTCGTCACGGCAGGCGTGGCGCTGCAGATCGACCCATACCTCGGCCCAACATCGGGCGGCATTGAGGTGGTCGTATCGGTCCCGGCCAAGATCGTGCTGGGCAAGGACTACTTCCCTGCAGCAGCAGAGGAGCTCTTACAATGCGTCTTTGGTGGCAAACGGGTCACAGCTATACGGCAAGACGGTCGCAGCCTCCGCTGTGTGTCGCCCCCGCAGTCGTCTCCCGGCGAGCAACCCCTGCAGGTGTCTCTCAACCAGCAGGACGAGGTCGACACATCGCAGAAGTTCCTCTACTACGACCCCCCAGAGATCACCAGCGTCACTCCCGACCTGGTGCCCATGGGCAGCACCACCACGCTCAAGATCACCGGCACTGGCTTCCACAACTCGGCTTACATGAAGGTGCGCTTCTGGCCCCCAGGCAGCACAGCACCGTCCGACATGTACCGGCCTGCCATATGGGCGAGCGACACAGAGATTCACACCTACACGCCCAGGCTGAGCTCAGCATCGGTGGCCGCGCGGACTGTCACTCGCGTGCCCATCTTCGTGTCGAACAACGACCAGAACTACTCGCCAGAGGGTGTGACGGCGTGGCATCCCGATGACTTCCACCTCGACAGCCTGCTAACCTTCGTGACCTTCCATCCGGAGGTGTTGTTGAGCCACGTGACGCCGCCGGTGGCTCTCAACAAGGGAGGGGGCCTGGTGATTGTCCGAGGGACGGGCTTCATCAACACGACGGCTGCGGCGTGTTCGTTCGAGTGGGTATCGTCTTCCAAGCTGGTGTACATGAGCTCCACGGAGGTGGCCTGTGTGGTGCCCAAAGTGCTGGGAGCCGCATCCAACAGCCTGGGAGATGCTAAGGTACGACGGGTGGATAAAGGAGGCAAGCTGCGAGTATCGACTATCCATACCCTGCCCTGTTTGTGTGTTCAGGTCCGAGTGACGCTCAACGGGGTGGACTGGTCGGACTCTTACGTGCATATCAAGCTCCTCGCCACGTGTCCCGGCGGCCACTACTGCCCTAGGGGTGTCGGCCCCATCACCCGCTGCCCACCAGGCCACCACTGCGAGGGCCAAGGCAACACTGACGCCATCCCATGCCCATCAGGCACATACCAGCCACTGGAGGGGCAGCAGCAGTGTCGCCCATGCCCCCCCGGCCACGTCTGCCCTCACACACGAATGGCCCACCCGTTCCCATGCGAGGCAGGCTGGGTGTGTGACGAGTGGGGCCTGACAGTGCCCTACAAGCCCTGCCCGGGAGGCAACTACTGCCTGGAGGGAACCGCCACGGCCGACGCTGTTGTCACACGCTTCAAGGACGGGCGCAGGCCGCTCCGCTGCCCCACCGGTCTGCACTGCTGGCCTGGGGCCGTCTCGGGGGTGTCGCGGCCGGGCAACTACTCAACTCCTCAGCCGTGCTTCCAGGGCTTCTTCTGCCCGGCGGGTTCGTTCAAGCCACAGGGCGTGGGCGGCTGTCCGTTGGGCTTCTACTGCCCCACCCCTCGACACCCCGGCATCCCATGTAGCAGTCGCTACATGTGCGGCCCCACACCCGGTAACCTGGAGCCTCGGTCATGCCCTGCCGGGACGTTCAGCGCCAAGTCCGGGCAGTGGAACTGCACCGAGTGCTTTGAGGGTGGCATCTGTCCGCATGAGAGGATGCTCAAGCCGCTACCGTGTCCGTGTGGCTATCTCTGTGAAGAGAGGGGCACCAAGGCGCCATCCAAGCTATGTCCCTCTGGGTTGAGGTGCGGGGTCGGCACTGCATCCAAGCACGAGCCATCGCTGTGTGTTCCGATCCCGCTGTCCGTCGATAACATCACACGCGTAAGCGATGAAAGACGGCCCGGTGTTTAAGCACCTCTGCACTCATACGTGTTTTCTGTATGTGCATCCATCGATCAGTTGGAGCTGGGCGATCCCATTGTGATAGCTGCTGTCTGTGACTCGTCCATCGACATGTACTACGTCCCCTTCTCCCGCACCGATCTCGTGGACAGGCTGAGCGCCATTTGGCGGATTCCGAGGCCCGCGGGCACGTCGTGGAAGGACCTCTTCACGGGAGCATGCTGTTGGAACAGGGCGAAGGTTCAGCGCCTTCTAGACGAGGAGGCGGGGACGTATCTGAAGGATCCGTACACTACTCTTCACGGCCTGAGCCTGCAGCGGCTCGCGTACCGGCTGTCCCGCATGGAATCCCCTGGGATGGACGGCCTCGAGATGATCAACACAGATGACGAGTCATGGCGACTCGACTACCACGTACACATACCCGAGGTGCGATCCCGCCTGCTCTACCTCGTCGACTCGCTGACCTTCTGGACGCGCCCACAGCCATGTCGCGAGGCCATGTACTGCGACGCTGGCACGTGCCTCTACTTCTACTCGACGAGGGAGGTCGACCTACCCTTCAACGAGACCACGGGGTCAGGTGGGGGTGCGGCGAGGCGACTGCGAGAGCTGCCCATGGAGGGGATCACGAAGCAGCCTGTGCCGATCTTCCTGGTGCCCAATGCTGAGTTGATGTTGCAGAACTACGTCAATCTTACAACCAGTGGCGTGGGAGGGGTCGTGGCGACGGATTTCAGTCTCTGGGGGTTCGCTCTCGCCCCCAGCCCTGTGGCAGGGAGGCGGCTTGTCCAGCGTGACGAGCCAGCGGACAATCAAGGCGCTTCATCTTCTCTTGCGTCACGGATCGCGTCGATATTCCAGCGTCTTGAGAATCCGTTCGACAGCAGCCGCAGCCTCGACCCCCAAGTGCACACCGGGTGGCTGTCGTTTCTGACAAGCATGGCTTCTTCAGGCCTCCGCATGCCCTACTACTACCGAGTGCCATTCTCTGCTTTCGACCGCGAGGGCCTCGCTCCCTCCGTTCCTGTCCGCCGTCTGCAGCTCAACACGACAGACGGAGACGAGCCCCTGTTCATCGACTTCACCGACCCGCTGTCCCTCAAGGCCCCTCACCAATGCATGACTGGCACATTCTGTCAGCCGCGCGCCAACTCATCTGGTGGCACAGACCTGTGTCCCGTGGGCACGATATGCCCGCCGGGGACGGCAGTGCCCATTCCGGCCGGCACGGGGACCATCGTGGACGAAGAGGGTCGGCTACGGGGCACCACATGCTTCCCGGGTGAGTACTCGCCCAGTGAGGGCAGTTTCGAGTGTCTCGACTGCCCACCTGGCTTCTCGTGTCCCGACTTCGGAACAACCACGCCTTACATCTGTGAACCCGGTAAGACAACGCAGGCCAGACAGTGGGTGGATCGATACCCCAATACACACGACGCTTGACTGATTCATGTGTAGGCAAGTGGCGCCGCGGCGGGACGTCCGACGTGTCATGTCGTGCGTGTGAGAAGGGGAGCTGGGCGCCATGGCGGGGGACGGTGGATGACACCGCCTGTGACCCGTGCCCCTCTGGCAGAGTGTGCCCATCTCTGACGGGGAATCTCACCTTCTCGGAGGCCTGCCCCGAGGGATATGTCTGCGGCGAAGCCACCACGCCGGAGTCACAGGTAGGGACACGGCGCAAGATCAGAAAGGGGGGCTACGAATGTGTCAGTCATGCCTGTCTGGGTATGTGATGCGTCCTGGGTTTCCATCTTTCAGACGGACAGGGAGTGTGTGTCTGGGTTCTACTGCGGTCCGTCGACGACCATGGAGGCCATGTACCGCAACCTATGCCCAGAGGGCTTCTTCTGCCGGAACAAGACATCAGAATCCTTCAGGTTAGACACTGTCGTCGCTGCCCTGTCGTTTACACACCCTTTCACTTGGCTCCCATTGTTTCTTCCATAAGGACTCGAGAGCGATGTCCGTTTGGCTTCTACTGTCCCGTGGCGACCCCGTATGACTCGACGCTGAGCGACTTGACGCTTCTCTTTGACGACACGTCAGCGCTGGCCAAGCTGCTGCGCGTGACGCGACAGACCAAGGCCGAGTGGGTCATCAAAGAACTCAAACGGACCATCGGAGAGAGGGAGGCCGCGGGCACCGCAGGGTGGACACGGTCGGCCAGCGCACACCTACGATCGCACACGCACAGATGTATTCGATGCGCATGGTTGTTTTGCAGGTGTCCGTTGGGTACCTTAACGGCGATATCTGGTGCGACCCGTCTGGATCAGTGCAGCAAGCGGTCGACCGTCCAGTTTCTCAACGAGGGCGAGGTGGTCATTGAGTCTCTCAACCCCGTTAACCATAACCTCTCCACACCGAGCATCATGAACTTCACGTGGGGCGACGACCAGGACGAAATGGCAAGCCAGCCACCCACACACATACGTACCTTATGTGGGAGAATGTGAGGCCATGTGTGTGTGCAGGTGACGATCTACCAGGGACATGCCGGCTCGTCTGCGTTAATAACATTCGACCTGCGTCACCTGAGCCCCGCAATAGAGTACGGTGCAGACTGGCGCATCAGTATCTCGGTCAACAGGACGCTGGAGCTCACCCAGACGCCCAATGAAGCAACACGAATAGAGGTCAGTGGGCAGATGGATACAGAGAGATGAATGCAGTGATTCATCGACCGAGGCATGTGTGTATTTTGTTGCCGCAGCTTCCCCCGTCCATCACGGAGGCTCCCGCTGGCACGCTCAAGGGCATTCTGGAGCTGCACCTGCACTTCCTCCGCACCGTGCAGTACCGAGTCGACATCGACATCCTCAATGGGCTGTTTCTGCCCGACAAGTTCCTCCTCCTGCAGTCGGCCGTCATCGAGACCACCCAACCAGACCGGGCGAGGCTGGGTACGAGCGACATGTTCCTCATGGAGGTCAATCGTGACATGCAGCTGGAAGTACCCTACAACATGTAGGCGCATGAGAGACAATGATCGCTTACGTGGATGTGTGACTGTCTATGTGGATACAGCCCTGTCAAGAACCTGAGTGCGTCGAGTCCGTATGTCGCCACGCGGGCCTTCCTCAGCTTCATGCCAAGGTGACGAGCGTAGCTGCACAAGAAGCAATTCTCATCCATCCACTGGTCTTCTCCTTCGCTGTCATTACCTTCAGGGATTTCGAGGCCGACATATATCAGCAGCAGGCGAGTGAGTTGGGCGTCAACAGGTTCCAGAACAAGGACGACTACTGGCAGGACGGCACGAGCGCCATCTGGCTGTCGTACCTGCCGTACTTCTCCAACTGTGAGGGCTTCGGCCACACCATCCCCCTGTGGGCGCTGGCTGAGCAGAGCCGAGAGTGCCAGCTCGTCCCTCTCGGCACCACAAAGCCCATCAAGCGACTGGCCTACCTGTCCACGGCAGTGGCGGACCAGTGCCGCAACGTGCGGCTACGATGTCTGTATGACGAGGTCTTCAACGACAAACAGGTGCTGCCGCGCTGGTTTGAGGTCAACGAGGGGGCAGAGCTCTTCTACATCACACGATACCCCATGAAGAGGAAGGACCTCGACTCAGGAAAGACCAGGACAGTGCCCCTGGTGCCGGTAAGTCCGAGCACAGACCTGCCTAGAACAGCAGTGGATTGCCGCCTTCTGTTCTGGTGGGTTCAGGTGAAGCTTGTTGAGCCGGCATCGGAGGATAGTCTGCCTGGCCGTGTGGTGCTGGACGTCTACTACTGGCAGGAGAATGACCGCAACAAGGAGATCATACGGGCGGAGGTGAAGTACCAGAAGCTGCAGACCCTCGACAAGGCCCAACAACGGGGACAGGTGGGATTCCGTTAGTGTTCGTGTAGGTATGGTATGTGATGCTGATGGTTTCTTGGGTCTGATCAGGTTGCCGTGGAGTATGAGTTGGTGTTCTCTCTGATCCCGATGGACCACACGGACGTGCTCGTCAGCTTTGCCTTCCAGTTCCAGTACTACATCTCGCTCTTCTTCTTCGTCGGCCTCTTCAGCGTAGCCATGCTGTTCGTACTCTGGATCATGCACAGACTCTTCACCAAACTCAAGTATGCGACCACAAACAGGAGGCACACGATGGACGAGTGCATGGGGTGGATCTGTGTGTGTGTGTGTGTGTGCAGGCACCCGCCGGCGCTGTACAAGTCGTTCTATCCCCAGTTCTACCTGCCCCCCGTCGTCCGCGGCAGCCTCCTGGCCCTCCTGCCCTTCACAGTTGGGTTGCTGATAGTGGTGGCCCTCTGCACGGGGGCCGTGGGTGGCCTTGCGCTGCCGTTCTTCATCTGGTTCAACTGCAAGGAGGAGGACGCCGACTGCAAGACGTACAGCGCCTGCCGGCAGGAGATCACCCCGGAGTGCCCTTTGGGGCTCTTCGACTCATTTGTCAGCTCCTACAACGCTGAGACCGAACTCACACGGACAGACTTCAGAAGTACGGGCGTTCACGGGGCACTGTATGTGTATGTAGCACTGCACTGTCGATGTTGTTGTATGTCTGCAGTGCGTCAGTATGGTCGCTTGGGCATGGGCCTGATGGTGGTGGGCGTGTACCTGATCTTCCTGGGCATGCGCATCTTCATTCGTCCGGCGATATCTGACTTCGAGAAGCGACTCGAGAGCGACGCTCACCGGCTGGCCAAGCTGATGAAGCAGGAGGCGGACGAGCTCGACCTCATGACCGTCTTCACCATGCGCATATGGAAGAGGAGCGCTCTCGCGCTCTGCCTCCTCCTGCACAGTTTCGTGGCGCTGTCGGTGCTCGAGTTCGCCGCCTCGGAGATCTTCAGGGACAACATATTCTACATGCTGGTCAGTGAGTCATCCACACCCTGACAGATGTGGCCAGCCCTTATCGCCTTGTGTGTGCGTGTGTGTTTGTGTGTGAGCAGGTCGGGTTGTATCTACTGAAGGTCGCGATGAGTTTGGTGGTGCATCAGTTCATGAAGGAGATGCTGCTCGTGGTGCCAATTAATGTTATCGCCATTCTGGTGGGCTTGATAACGCACCGACCGGCGGATCGATGCATTCGAGTGCTGCTTTCTCCTGTGTGTGTCAGACCAACACTCTAGCGATTCTGGCCGCCCCTGACCTCTTCTCCTTCCTCATGTGCTTCCTCATACAACTCCTCATACAGGTAGATCGACTCGACACACCTCAGCCACGGACCGACCGACGTCACGATGGAGGTGTGTTCCTCCTCGCGCCTCCTATCAGACGTTTGACCGCATTTACGTGAGTCCCAGCCAGGAGTACATCCTGTACACCATCGAGCACAGGGGCAGGAAGGCGTGGCGAATGCTACAGTGGCTGGCCAGGGGGGCCAAACCGTGGGAGAGACAGTAAGGCAACAGACAGACAACGGCAGCTGCTCACTCGCAAATGTAATCCCCAATTCTGGTGTCATTTGTTGTCTGTATACCTGAAGGCGTTTTGTGCCGGAGGAGGGCGCATCTGAGTACGAGGATGAAGACCTGGACACATTGGACGAGAAGTTCAAACAAGAGGCCAGAAAGTAAGGGAACAAACAGGGGGGGCGTGTGTGAGCTCAAGCGCATCTGTGTCTGTGACTGCATACATGGCTGCAGCCGCCCGGTCCGCGACCCGATACCAAGCGACATGATCGGTAAAGTGACCCAGAAGACAGGCGATGCAGTCATCATGGGCATCCTGTCTGTCGTCGTCTTCCATTCAGGTTGCATGGCGAGCTACTCGACTGATCTGCTGGCAGCGTTGTGGATCCCGGTGGTGCTGGGGCTGTGCTGGTTCTTCTACGACGAGACCGACATCCTGCTGCAGTTCGACATCACTCCCGCCACTGCCCCCTACTACATGACCTTCTTCGTTATCATCTTCTTCTTTCACATCCTCTTCGACATTCTCTGCCTCAACATCATGGAGCTGTTCCACAGGTGGCGCATCATGGACTACCTCCGATACTGCAAATTCCGATTCGACACGCGTGCTGACCGGTGGAAGGGCGAGGGCAAGTCGGTGGACGAGGGCGTGCCGCCGTCGGTGCGGTCGCTGGACCTGCTGTGCTTCTCCGAGCAGTACTACTTTATGGTCTCGCTGCTGGCCGCTGGCACCTTCACGTGGCTGCTGGGGATGCAGGTGCTCTTCTCGGAGAACTGGAACATGTTTGACGACCCGGCATTCTCCGTCGTGTTCCCTGTCGTGTGGCTGGTGTGCGGCTTCATCAAGACGTGTTCCGTGTGGACGGCCAACTACCTGCGCGTGTGGAAAGTGCCCTCGGTGGATGTGGCCAAGAGGGTGCGGGAGGGTGAGGAGAAGAGCCTGCTGGAGGAGTGGAAGGAAATCAAGGCCAAACCCATCCTCAGAGCGCCACCTGGTTGGTTCAAACGACGGCACACACGAAGCGTACAGCATGTCCACCGTGCCTTCGTGTGTGCGTGTCTGTCAGGTGGCGGCATCATGGAGGGTTGGGTGGAGCCTGAGGAGGCCCGTGACCCATACGGACTCGCCAGATACAAACAAGAATTCGTCAAAGAAAAGTAAGGAGCATGCACGCACGGACGAGATGCCCTCAGAAGCTCGCACGCTGTTAGCTCCTTGTCCTTGTGTTGTGTGCAGTGCGATATGGCTCCAGCAGAACTTCCGTGAGGTGGTTCTGGGCAGCCGACAGACGATGGAGCGCTATCGCACTCCTCTGCTCAAGGCCCTGGCCACCCTCATGGGCACACTCGACCCTCGGCAGCTGCAGGCCTTGGGAGCTGTGTCGCCCGAGGAGCAACGAGACACGCAGGCCTCACTGGCCATATCGCCCAGAGAAGACGAGTACGCAGCCATGGGCTCGATGAGTGCAGGCAGGGGCTGAGCTTGTCTGTGTCTGTGTGTGTTTCAGGTCGGTGACGACAGCTCCTGCCGAAGGGGCCTTGTTCGGCTTCAATGTGCCGCCAGATGAACAGGTATGCAGGCACAAAAACATCACGTCACCAACCGCAGCGAATAACGCTCATCTCCGCTGCCTGTGTGGGTGTGGCAGATGGCTGAGTTGCTGCGTCGTCGGAAGGAGACGGGTCGCGTCATGCACGTCCCGCAGGTGTGCGCCGACATCACACGCATGTGGCGACAGAGGGCCAAATTCCTGCTACACCTGCAAAGACAGGTACCACCCTATCCCAAACCATCACAAGCTTGCCGGCCATTGAACGAACGCCTTCATATGTGTGGTTGGCCATTTGCAGTTGCGTGTGGTGAAGCCCAACTCAGCGCTGGCTTTGGCGAATCAGCGTCAGTGTGAGCTATGCGGCAACCCCCAAGCCATCGACACCTACCCCATCTACTCAGCCATGGCCATGGCATCGCAGTTCAGGCAAACCCGCGACCTCTCGCCACTGTGGAACGAGACACTGTGGCTGCACTACTACAAGACCTTCACACCCACCGCCGTGCTCTGCGCCACATGCTACCAGACGTACCACTCCCGCAACAGGGTGACAGCCACACGCACAAGGCCGAGACATAAACATGGAGATCAGCACTTCCTTTTCTCTCTCTCTCCATCCATCAGAACATCCCTCTCGAGAGAGGGGTGGGTCAGCCGTATACGCCCATTCGTCTCGCACTGCCCTCGGCACGGCCCGCCCAGGACACAGCCCCCTTCCCTGACGTCACTGTGCCCCCCCACGCAGCGACAATCATGCGGGCGTGGCTGCAGGCCGCCAGAACAACCGCGCGGGGCGGAGGGGAGGAGGCGTCGGAAGCAGAGGAGGGCGAGGGCAAACCAGCAGAGGAGGCAGCGGCTTCGAGCGAACACATGGAGGAGGCACAGGTGGGCGGGAGAAAAAGGGCAGCCGTCGGTCGGTGTGCACGGACATCGGTTAGCTGCGGGGTGTGTTGATGTGCGCAGGTGGGGGATGTGGACGAGTGGCAGACTCCACGGCCATTTGAGGGTGTGGATGTTGCCTTGTCAGCGCCGTCCAGACGTCTGATGAGGCTGTGGCTGCAGAAGGCAAGGACCTCATTGGGCAGAGGGGCGCCGACGTAGCTAGCTGTCGAGTCAGAAATTGTGTGGGTACAGCTGTGTAGCTATCTATACATACGTGTGTACAGGGACTTGCATTGTGCGTGTGTGTATAGCTTAATGTGGTCTAGCCTGTATATATCCGTGGGTGGTGTTCATGTGATGTGTGGGTATACATATCACTGCCTCTCTGTACAGCTGACTGACTGATGCGAGGCTTGCAAAGATATTGCTTGCTGACTTACTGAAGGTCATCAAACGAGAGACCCACGTAGCTCTTCTGTGTGTAGACAGATGTGTGCCGTGCATATCCATTGGAGGGTGCGTTTGAGGGTGCGTGTGAGGTCCTGTCTACAGCTCAGGCGAGGCTTGCACAGGTAGATCCTCTGTTGTTTCGCGAGAATGCTGTTGTGTGTACAGTGAGGTGGTCACGTCAAATTTGTAGCTTTCCAAGCACCCCCGTTCGTGTAGAGACCCATCCATGACCTCCCCATCCATTCGTAGCCGGAAATAGAGAACACCTCATGATGTAAACGGACGAGACTCGAGGAGACAAAAAAAAATAGAGAACAAATATCCGATATTCCAGGACCAACCAACAGCCACCACGAGAGCCGCATCGCTTTGCGACGGTCGCAGACGTCGACTTCCCCTGCACCACCGTGCACTTTATATTGGCATCGCCATCGGAGCTATGTGCCTCATGTGCTGCTCAAGGCTGCTGTTTAGCGACGGCCGCACTGTCGAGTTTGAGGAGGAAGCCGCCTCCATTTTGGGCACCAGCGACAGGGTGACGGTCATGAGAGGGAGGGTGCCACGGCCCGACGGCGGCAGCGACGACGCCGCCATCAAGATCATGTCGTTGGAGGGCCTGCCCGACGACCGCATCAAGAGGGCGGCAAGGGATTTTGAGGTGGAGGCGAGCCGGATGCGTACGCTCAAGGGCCAGTCACCCTTCCTCACGCTCATCGCCGCCGACACCGACCCACAGAGCCCTGCCCAGTACACGGGCCCCGATGGCAACCCCAAGAAGGTCCTCTTCATAGCCATGCCACCACTCCTGGGTGAGTGACCTGCACACACGATGGATGGATGGATGGATGGATGGATGGCAGAAAGGACGGAATGGGATCACGAACAGGGCGGGACCTGCTGCTGATGTCCTGTGGATATTCTGCGTCTGTGCGTGTGTGTGTATGTGTGCAGCCGACTATGTCGAGCTGAGCCGCCTTATCGGCTGGAAGAGCGGGGAGCTGGTCGAGAACCAGTACAGGCTGGGCATCGTGGCGGCCAGGTACAAGGAGGCGCGGAAGGACGACCCCAGGCGGGCGTTGGCGAGGCTGTTGGCGGACCTCAAGGTCATGACCAAGGCCCCCGTCATCACCACGCAGGCCCACCGCACTGCCGTCAAGCACGGCATCTACTGCCTGGACGCCTTCCTCAACAACGTGATGCTGCCACGACAGGCCCTGATGTGCCCCGACGGCGTTCTCGAGCGCTTCCCCTCTGTCAACGGCGGCATCATGATTGACCTGGCCAACACCATTGCCGCCGACACGCCGGGCTCCCCCCTGCCCGAAGACACGCCAGCCTTCCTGGGTGAGAGACCAGCCCGTGTGCCGCTGGACCAGGAGGCCCAGGAGGTCAACCCGGCCGCGACCATCTGGTTCACATCACCAGAACACTGGTCGCTGGACTTGGGCTATGTCCCCGAGCCGGATGGAGAGTGAGGCGGCGACGACCAACCCGAGGCGGAGAAGGCGTCACGAGAGGGGGGAGGGGAGGAGGACGGAGATGAGGAGGAGGCAGACGAAGAGGAGCAAGACGAGACGTCGTCCACCACCACCCAGGACGAGATCAGGGAGGGCTGGGCCAGCCTGCGGGGCGAGATGCGTGAGGATGGGCTGCTGCGGGGGGAGGGCAAGGAGGAGGAGGTGCTGATCGGCGAGCCGAGTGTGTCGTACGGCCTCGGGATGATCACCTTCGCCACCATCAGAGGCAGCGCACTCAGAGACACCGCCATGGAGATGGCGGGGCCAGAAGACGAAGAGGAGAGGATGGAGCTGCTCCTGGCGATGCAGTGGGGGGAGGCGCGGAGCTCCTTTATGACATCCCCTGCACCTCGGGCAGCCCATGTGCCCCCTACTGGAGCTCTTCGACGAGCCGGGCCTGCAGTGGACCAAGAGGTGGGTCGACATCCTCGCCGAGATATCCGAGAAGGGGCAGCGGCAGCGGCAAGGCGAGCGGCCCAAGCTCGAGTGGATCGAGGACAGCCTGTTCGCCGCGCTCGAGCTCCTCGAGTCGGTGGTGGTGCCCCCTGTGTCTGTGCCTAGCGAGGGGGAGGGCGTGGTCGGCCCCTCCGCACCTGCTGCTGTTGACGAGGTGCCCGTGCAGATGGGCATTGCTGAGGAGAGAGGGACGACAGACGGTAGGCAAACACGGATGGGAGCACCAACTAGAGCAATGCATCTCGGTCACTCTTGTGTGTGTGCGTGGGTGTGTGCCTTTCAGAGGGGGTGTGTGAGAGGTGAGGACTCGGAAGGCGGTGCATCCGCTGCCCCGCGCGCCGCCGCCAGAGAGGAGACACCGCCCACACTACCACACATCCCATACCCGCCGGCCGCAGCCGCGAGGACGGCAACATTCCACCTGGTCCATCCCCTGCACCACGCACAGCACACGCAGCTGTACCAGCTACCACCCTCATCCCCGCCCACACTCCCTCCTGTGCCGATGATGTACGGCCCCAACCTGGCGGCCCACCAGCTGGATTACAAGTTCGGCCACGCCAAGGTCGTCTATGTCCCCCACCTGGCGGGCGGCAAGGTCGAGGAGGGGTGGCACAAGAAGCCTCTGACGGGGCACTGGGAATGGTGGGAGGATAGCGACGAGGGAGAGGGCCTCTACGAGGTCAGGGGGGCCTTTCAAGACGTTTCGACGGCCTCGAGAGCGATATTGCGCGGCGCCGTGGATGCAGTGGCGGGGTTTGTGCAAGGGCTGCTGAAGTGCGGGAGGGGAGAAGAGGAAGAGACGTAGCCGAGACGTAGTACATGTGCGTGTCTGCCTAAGTTAGCAGCACTGTTGTCGCGGTGGGGCGATGGCAAGAGAGGGCCGGCAAAGAGGAGGGAGGAGGAGAGCCAGAGAGCAGCCATCGAGGCGGACAAAAGCCAAAACAAAAAAAAAGCAGAAAAGGCAAAACAAAAGAAGAAACAAAAAAAGCCAAAAAAGGTCCGGAGGGAGCAGCGGCCGTGTGCGTGGATGGACGTGCTCGTGTATGTCATGTCATGAGTGTGGTGCTGGTGTCACGTCTGTCTGTCTGTCTGGATTGGATGCCCGTCTGTCCGCGTCAGTCATGTTATCAATCGTCCGTCTGCACGTCCGTCTATTTTCTGTCTGTCTATGTGGCTGGCTGGCTGGCTGGCGAGGCGGGCGATGGGACAGCCAGACGTGGAGTAGAGAGAAGGGGAGGGGTCCCTACAATCGCTGCCTACATTCTATATTGGTCAGTGAGAGACACAGTGGCCACATGCATCCATCGTATCTCTCTTGCCTGAGCGGAGGGGCACAGCAGAGACCGGTAGGTAGATCCAATCAGCTGACCACATGTGTGACGTTGACTGATAGACAAATGGTCCACAGAATGAATGGTGCGCATGCATCGCATGGTATGTCCCATACACAGACAGACAGATAAACGCCATCATCCACCCACACGCAAAAGCATACACAAAGACAGCCTCGAAAGTATTCCACACTCACAACTGCCCATCCCCGAGCTCATCCATCGGTGTCAGGGCTCTTGAGCTCCTCTCTGAACGACTGGAAGTGGGCCCTGGCCTTGTGCCAAAGCGGCCCCTCCCAATACAGACGCTGACACCCCCCACACCGCCAAAAGGTCTCGTTCTGCTCATACGCAGCCGGGGACACCATGTCCTGCACCTCCTCGCGAGCCGCCTCCTAACGACCAGACAGAGAGACGGCGTGTTGTCCGTGTTCTCTCGATCGCCCCGACCCACCTGCCATTCGCATGCATTGCAGTGGGCACACCGCGAGCAGATGTCATCGTCGCCAAACTCAATGCCGAAAACCTAACCCACACACACTCACACACACAGGTGCGCATGAACACCATACGCCACATGTGCCTCCCCGCCTTGCCACTGACCTGCAGCACTTCGCGCAGCTGTGCATCGATGAGGTCGCTCTGCAGGTAGTAGACGGGCATGTTCTTGTACAGGCCGTTCTTGCCACTCTCCTTGGTCAATATGACCCTCTCATCACTGTGAGCGACCGACATCATACCGTCACGATGCGAATCCTGGACGTCACACACACACACATACAATGGTGAGACCCGTCTTGCGGATGTGCGCGCGCGCGCGCGCGTGTTTGTGTGTGTCGAGCTGCTTACGGTGCGTAGCAAGGAATCGACCCCCATGCCCCTCAGCTTCCGGCACAGCTTCTGGCACTGCACAGGAAGCACAAACCGCCATTCCTCAATCCCATCTGGCCATTATCAATTCAACACACTCAGGAGAGGCGATTGAAGAGACACTCATCTCCTGTTCTCCTTCCTGCTGAGCTCACTTAGTGTTCGGTACTTGGCCCACTGCTGCTGTGCGGTCTTGAGGTCTGACGCACTGATATCACGAAACGGCAGCTGCTTGGAGGACCTCTCCTTGGCTCCATCCACTGCCCCGCCAGCCCCTCCCTGCTTCTTGCCCTCCTGGCGCTTGGCCCTCTTCTCGGGCCGCGGCTGCTGCTCTCCTCTACCTCTGTTTGACGGGCCCGGCCGATCATCTTCATCCGGCTCGCGGTCATCGTCTCGTCTCTTTTGGTGTCTCGTGTGTGCCATGGCAAGCATTTCCGTGGTGGACACCTGCAAGTCGGCCGCCATCCTCTCGATCAGCCGGGGGATGGCGGCCGCGTCCAGAGCTGCGTAGGCCACCTGGGCGTCATCCAGGGGACGATACTAAAAGCACAATAAGCACAGGAACATGGTAATGAATTCTCCGTCGTCTCCCCTCCCCTCCCCCTCTCTGTTCCTCACCTCCCAATTGCAGAACTGTGAGGTCTTGCTAAGTGGTTTTCCAAGTAGCAAGTGACAGAGACTTGACAGACTGCTCCCGCGTGGTGGGGGTGGGAGAGAGCAGCTGAATGGAGGGGGGCTGCGGGCCGCATCGCCGAGTGGGTGCCAACCGGCTGGGGGCCACTGTGGTTTCTCCTTGGGCTGGCCGTTCTCATCTGTCTCGTCCTTGGGTGGCTTGGGTGGGTCTTTGACGAAGTGCAGTGCCCTGGCGATGTTGCCGACGTCCATGCATGTGATGGTCTTGTTGTAGGCGGCGCCCCGAGCCCTCAACGCCTTCACATCCTCCTGGTGAAACCTGCACACATCACACACGCACTCACGGTGGTGCTCGTGGGCGTGAAAGGCATTTTGCCGTCCGTCAGCTCACATGAATCCGATTTTGATGGGTGTCGGGTCGCTCATGAACTGACTGACGGGCTCGTCTGCGGCGGCGCCCATGGCGTGAAGGTCAACCAGATACACCATCCTGCCGGCAGCGATCTGCAGGAGGGCGCACTTTTGCTGCTGGAAGGCTGAGAGAACCGGCCGCCACTCACCATCCACACCCACAAAAGGCTAAAACAATTCAAAAGGAAGGTGCAATTCAAGACGTCAGCCTTGTTGTTCCCCCTGTCTCCACTGACCTCTTGCTTGAGCCTCTCCAGCACCTCAGTCAGCTGCATCGGGTCGTTTACGAGCACCACCTCCCCCGCCCCACCAGCCCCCGCTGCGCCAGGCATCGCTATGCCCAGGTCAGCGAGAGCCAGCACCTCTGCGGGGCCCGACGATCGGCGTCTGTGGTCGCGTGGGCGGGTGTTGAGCCTGGGGGCGAAGGGGCGGCCGTTGTGCTGCGAGATGAGGCGATTGACGTCTTGACGCAGACTGGGGGGCAGGGGGTGGGTCTCCTGATACTGCACAGCCACAAAAGCAGACACACAGATGCTCATGTGTGCGCATTCACTCCGTCTTCGTTTCATGTGCCCCGCCCACCTGTGTGAGAGCCTCGGCGCACTTGACAGCGGTGTACGGGCAGATGCGCAGAGTCTCCTGGCAGAGGGCCATGAGGGCGTGGGGATCCCCGTCCACAAAGCGCAGGATCTCGGCCGACGTCATGCCCTCGGAGAAGATGGCGTATCGGAGCGTCTTGGAGAAGAGCACCATGTTCAGCTCAGGGAAATCCGATATAGGCCAGCCGTTCTGTTTGACCAAGCCGACGGCAAGCTTGGAGTGCTTGGGCGTCGACCAGGCCCTGGCCAGCGCCCGAGGGTTGTGTTCGAACAGCTGCCGGGCGGACGGGGCATCAAGGCTCTCGATGAGGCCCCGCAGATCGTGCTCAGGGAGGGTCTCGGGGTGGGGAAGGACGGGGGAGGGGGAACGCTGGTGCTGAGAGGGGGGAGGGGAAGGGGCGGGGGCATCGGGGGCAGCCTGACCACGAGGCGACAGAAAAGGATAGACTGAGTGACAGATTCCATCTGTCCTTTGTTCGCTGACCTCAAGTGGGCGGAATGCGACGAGCAGTCTAAACACGGTCTTGTGCTTTCGCGACTTGAGGGCGCGACTGAAATGGTCTCGCACCAAACTGAATACACACGCACACACACACTTGTCAACATGCACGACGAGCAAGTACTGTACTTCTGACGTACCTCTTGCATGGAGGGGCGTCCAGCTCCATGGCCTTGACGAACAGCGGCAGGAGATCCACCTCCACCGTTTCCAACAAAGAGAGCGCCTTCCGGCCGTCAATGGATGCGCCGCCGCCCCTCGCCTGCGCTCCATCAGAGCCATCGCCGTGGGACCTGTTTGAGAAGAAGATGAACACATTCATCGGTGAGAGCGCTGCCCGGTCGCCCTGCCCTTCTCTCACCTTGTGTCGACAAGTGCACCTAGCAGTAGTGCCTGGACACTCTTGAACCCTCCCTGCGCCTTCTGCAGATGCTCCAGCACGCAAACCACAAGAGCTTCAGGGCTCCCAGCCCCATCACTGGCCCTCTGGGATGTGACCAGCCGCACCAGCAGGTCCTTTATCTGCCGCCTCTGCTTGTCATAGGACCTCTTGGGCCGCATCACCGTGTGCCACTCGGCCAGCGACTGAGCGACGGTCTGGGGCGCAGTGCTCCAGTGGGATTCGATGCACGAGATGACCACGTTGATGTCAAGACGAGGCGAGTCATCACTCGCTGCGTCTGCGGGTGCTGACGACGCACTTGGCGCTTCGCTTGCCGCAGCCATGCCGACGGCTCTCGACGACGTGAGTGCTTGCGGCGGTTTCCGCTGACGAAGGGAGGTTGCAGTAGGGCTGTGAGTGAGCGGCTTGATGAATGTGGGTGGACGTGTGGGTGGATGCTCGAGGAGGAATGAATCAACAGGCAAAGGAATAAGCGTCAGCTGCAGCAGGATCAGCACCGTCGGCAAAGGAAGCAGCAGACACCGACGCATAAGAGGAGGGGGATCACCCGCAGCTGGAGGCCTTAGGATGCTGCCTGAAACCGCCAACTCCACGGTCAGCTCGCAATCGGGAAGAGCCAAAGGAGCGAAGAGAACGTAGCACGGCGACGACAGAGGCGTGCAGAGCCTGTCGAAGCCACAAATCAGCACTCCGATCCATAGCTTTCGCGACTTGGTCGCATGATGCTGCCAGTACTGCCGCCCAGGTGAGAGAACAGAAGCCTGCAGGCCAACAAAGCACCTGTATCACGGCGTGAACAATTTGTGCTGTCTGTGTGGTTTGTCATTCGGCTTGGTGCAGATGAGCGCAGTGATACGGGGCCAGCTGCTGCCCCGGGTAGAAGGCTATCGGCTGAAGCAGGCTCAGGTATCAGCTCACCATCACACACACCAAATCACCCATTCCATGCAGTGCATCCAAAGCTCACCAGCTGCTTGTTGTGTGTGTGTGTGTGTGTGGTGGTGTGCGTGTGCAGGTCAACAGCTGCATCGACCAACTCCTGCAGATGGACACCGACACCGCTGCTTCGATGGCACCACTGGTGCGGCAGGCTGCCAAACACACCACAAAGCCCTCTGTGTGTCTGTGAAGTCTACTTTCTTGGCGTTGCTCTCGTCGTGTTGATTCATTCGTCAGATGGTAGCCAAGGTGAGTCGTCAATTTGCTGCTGTGTCCGACCTGCTGGCCGAGTTGGCAGAGACCATCAACTCGACCATCGCACTGACAACACATAGCCGCACACAGGTGAGAGAGTGACCGCAGGCAGGCACAAATACAAGACGCACACTGATGTGGTGTGCACCTCTTGGGTGTGTCATCAGGCGCGACGGTTGCACATCTCTGACATCCCCGCCAACCCCATGAGCGTCGTCCTGGAACTGTCTGACCTCACCGCCGTCGCCCGCGTCAGGTCAACAGCCCGACCCATCAGGAATGCCCTTCGGCCGATCATCCGCCGCAGTCGGCTGCTGAAGGCCATCGAGCAGGCGGGGGTTAGCGGTGTGGTGCAGTTCGACCCTTTGCTGAGCCGCGGCGATGTGATGAAGGCCATGTGGATGGTGGAGGAGGGGGGCGAGGGCGGCTGGCGGGAGGTGGGTGGCACACTGAGACTGTCGGAGCACTGCGGCAATTGCCAGCTGCCGGTCACTGTGGGTCTGGAGACCTGCAGACACACGCCACCAAGGCGGTAAGCACGACACACAGAAGAGGCAATGGGCGAGCTGCTGCCAGTGGATGTAAACTGTTGGGTGCAGGATTTCTTGTCGCTGCCCCGTGTATTTGCGCAGTGGATGCTCGTCGGCCGCGGTGTGGCCTTCCGCCGCCCCAATGGCCAGCAAGGCGGCACACTCGAGCTGTTCCGCCACAACAACAACGAGATCCGCGCCATCCGCAACAAGCCCAACTTCACCCTCTCACTCAACCCGCCCCTCCCCCTCCCCAACCGCCCCGTCCATCCCTTCTTGCAGCACCCCTTCACCCACCACGCCAAGCCACACGACCCGCCAGTCCGCCACTGCATTACGTGGCTGCATGGTATGGGCTGGAGGACGATTGGCACCGTCAATGATGACGGGGCCGTTTACGCATTGGCGAGCTCCCTGCTGAAGGAGCTGGTGCGGACTCACCGGCTGTTTGCTGTTCGCGGCTTCACCACCTCGCCAGACGTGGTGGTAGTCCGGTGAGCGGATGGACGGCACGCAATGAGAGGGCAAATCGCTATGTGTGCGCTATTGATGTGTGTCAGGAGTGCACGTGGCGGCCACCTGGACCGCATCATGACCCGATCGCCACACACGCCCCTCAACGGATGCTCAAATGTGACGACATGGGAGGCCGCCAGTGAGCACTGTGGGCAGGCGCATTTCGTGACGACGGCTGCCGACCCATTCATCTCATGGATTTTCTTCGGATTAGACCCAGACGACGACCAGAGCGGTACGTATGCACACACATTAACAGCACATTCTCATGCTGTCGTGTCGTACTGATCTGCTGTTGTCTGCGTGCAGTCCATGTCACCATCAGTACCAGCGAGTTGCCGGCAGCAGGTGTCCCCCATGACGCCCCCTTCGCCCATCGGTTTTCCCTGACGGCCGCCAAGGCGCGTCGCGTGCTCGGGCCCATCGCACCCATCGTGCTCGACGGCCAGGCGCCTTAGATACAGGGTGGGAACCACACAGATGATGCAGACGGTACCTGGTCTGCGGATTGTGTGGGTGTTAGGGTGTGTTCTGCAGGCTGACTAGCGTTAGCTGGGCCGTGCAGCGAGTGCTTAGGAGTAAGATAGACGTGGATGCATGTATGAGTTACCGTCACGCATGAGACACTGCTTGACGGGACAAACGACCCTTCGCAATGACGTGCTACTAACTGAACCAGCAATTCACATTTCATTGCACGCTGGTTGGCCATCCCTCCATCCATTTCACGTGCATGTCATCCGTTTCACGCATTCATCACTCTCGAGTCGTCAACACGCACTGCCTGCACTGTGTGCCGTTCGTTGGTCGACTGCTTTATGCTTGTCGGAAAAGTCGTCTATTCTTGGCCTGGGCGGCCTTGCGACTGAACTCAATTGACCGCTGCACACGCACAGACACACACACATCCACACACATTGGGTGGGCGTGCGTGTGGTATGGCTCACTGCATTCACTTCGTCAAGCTGTCGCTGCATGTCCTGCTCGGCCGCACTGATCTCGCCCAGTGAGGCTCGTTTGGCGGCCAGCTGTGAGGCTGTGCCGCTTGATACACACGCTGACCCACTGCAACCCGAACGCTGCACGCACACAACACACACGCCAAGTAGGTGGATGAATAGATGGATGGATGGGCGCACCTCGAGTGCGGTGATTTCTTTCTCTAGTTGGAGTTTGGCGTTGCGGAGTCTGTCTTGGTTCTTGGTGGCCACGATAAGCTCGGCCTCCACCACACGCACCTCGTCACGCAGCAGGTCGGGATCGCTCAACTCGGACGCCGAGGGCAACGAGTGGGGCTGCAACAGACGAACTAGAGAAGAGACACACATCCATCTGTTTGTCTCCCTTGGTTGCTGTCTCTCTTGCTGTCTCTGTCTTACTGTCTTGAAGGACTTGCTCGGGGGAGTGCTCGCCGCCAGCCGCAGCTCGCATGGTGGCCGCCTCGTGCTGCTCCATCTCGCCTGGCAGCTCCGGCTCGACAATCACCAACGCCGGCAGACGATGAGACACGGCCTGATGGCAGGTGAGCCGATGAATGGATGGATGGATGCTGTGACCTTGTGTTCTCTCTGTGTGTGTGTAGGGGC